CTTTATTGTCCTAGCTAGAGTGCAGTGATGTCATCATAGCTCACTCACTGCAACCTCAAATTCCTGGGCTCAAGCAATCCTCATGCCTCAGCATCCTGGGTAGCTGAGACTACAGGCATGCACCCCCATTCCCAGCTAAGTTTTCTGTTTTTTGTAGAGACAGGGTCTCTCTTGCTTAGGCTGTTCTCAAACTCCTGAACTCAAGTGATCCTCCTGCCTTGGCCTCACACAATGCTAGGATTACCGGTGTGAGCCACCAAACCCAACCTTTTATACATTCTTAAGTCAGTCTAGCTCAAGAAGTTTTTTGGTTTTTTTTGAGACAGAGCCTCACTTTGTTGCCCAGGCTAGAGTGAGTGCCATGGCATCCGCCTAGCTCACAGCAACCTCAATCCCCTGGGCTCAAGCAATCCTGCTGCCTCAGCCTCCCAAGTATCTGGGACTACAGGCATGTGCCACCATGCCCGGCTAATTTTTTCTATATATATATGTTGGCCAATTAATTTCTATTTATAGTAGAGATGGGGTCTCGCTCTTGCTCAGGCTGGTTTCAAACTCCTGACCTCGAGCAATCCACCCACCTCGGCCTCCCAGAGTGCTAGGATTACAGGCATGAGCCACCACGCCTGGCCAAGAAGTTTTGCTATACTTTGTCGAATTGAGTGATATGGAGAAATGTCACTCAGATACACAAGAGTTTCTGGTGACAACCACAGTAAGTTATAGTTTTATCAAAGACTGCGTGGCCACCGGTTGTTTGTAAAATTATGCCAATTGTGGTTCCTATGCTTCTGTTGATCAAAGAAAACTAATTGACACACAAGAAATGTGCTGTGATTTATGTGGTTTATTCTGCTTTAATTTTTTAGGTGCAGCTATCTTCTTTGAATTCAAACACTATAAGCCTAAAAAAAGGTTTACCAGCACCAAGTGTTTCGCTTTCATGGAGATGGATGAAATTAAACCTGGGCCAATTGTAATTGAACTGTAAGTGATGTTCATATAGAATTAGTACTAATTTAATGGTGACTAGTGTATCTTTTTTCTTAGTCCCCCTTATCCAGTATGTAACTTTGGCATAGATCAATTATCAAAGTGTTTTAAACAATGGTCTTTCTATTGTTACAGATACAAGAAACCCACTGACTTTAAAAGAAAGAAATTGCAATTATTGACCAAGAAACCACTTTATCTTCATCTACATCAAACTTTGCACAAGGAATGATCCTGACATGATGAACCTGGAACTTGTGAATTTTACCACTCAGTAGAAACCATCATAGCTCTGTGTAGCATATTCACCCTTCAACAGGCAGGACGTGAGCCGTGCCCATGCCAGTAGCCAGAGAGAGTCCGTTGCAAAGCTGTCCAGCAGAATGCAAAGCCCAGCACATCACTGACTCGTAAGACTCCTTTGGATACAGGGTTATTGTAGACTTTGAAACATGTTTTTACTTTTCTATTAATTGTGCAATTAATAGTCTATTTTCTAATTTACCACTACTCCTACCTTGCTTCCTGGAACAATACTGTTGTGGGTAGGATGTGCTCATCTTCAAAGTTAATACAGCAATAAGAATGTGCTCAAGTTTACACATCTGTCCACTTTTGCTCCAGTATGCTCTTTTGGTCTGAGTTAACTTCAAACTTTGGGTTGATGTGGGTAGAATAGTATCAAACTGCTTTGAGAGGAATTGGACTAATTATGCTGCCTAAGAAGGTCTGTATAGAAATTTATAGGCTGTTCCTCAGAAGTGGCCTAAATTCATCCTGATCTGATAGTTTTCCTGCTTAGAAATAGTGTGCCTTGGCCAGATCAGTATTCCATATGGGAGTGTTCCCCAGGTTGTAGCTGTGATATTTTCCAGATGGCCAGATTGTTTTTCTGAAAGTGAGTGTATTTTTAGTCATGTTGATTAGCTGTACTTCTACATCACATTGTTATTCTTTCTGATACTGATTCTAGGGTTAACATTGGAGCCATCTCAAGGTAATTACAAATTTTTAGATGGATTTACAATATCTTCTAAATAATATAATCCAGAAATAAGTCAGATGCTAACAAGATACTGCAGGCATAACTGCTGTTTTTCTGACAACTGATTGTGAAACCTTAAAACCTGCATACCTCTTCTTATAGTGATGAGTATGCAAAATCTGGAAAGATATTCTATTTTTTTTTATATAGGTATTGCCATTTTATATAGGATTGCCATTTATTTCCTATTTAGATATATTGACATTCATCCATATGAAAATATGCAGGTCATTAGCTTATTATAATTTGACTATTTACATTACTTTTGACTTTATGGGGCATAAATAAAACTTTCATAGTACACATGAAGTGGATATTTGATATACAGAATATTAAAACTTGTGGTGGGCTTTCTGTGGGTTACATGTAGAACCCACATATTTTATCACTGTTTTAAATGAGCAATGCATGAGGAGAATGCAGTGTCTGTACCTGGCCTATTTTTAAACTAGTATAATGACCCTAGTCATACCATTCAACGTTTGCTTTTTAAAATAAGTAACCACAATTAAGTTTTAGCCCTTGCATTTCAGGAGCTCTAGTCCTTACTTTCAGTTCTTGACAGGCCAATTCTGTGTCCCAGATGGATGTTAATAAATAATATGAGCCTGAAAGAATTCTCAACCAAATTTAGTCTTGTCTTTCAATCACTTGATTTGATTAATTCCAAATTCCAAAATGATTCTGTCCACAGTAGCTCTAGGGGATGAAGAATTTGCCTTAATAAACAGTTGTTCACTTAACCCTTATGACTACAGGTTGTCAAATCCCCAGACTGTAAGCTCCTTAAGGGGCAAGAACCACATTTTCTCCATGTCATGTAAATTTTCTAAGGTGCCTGGCAGCACTCTGTACCCTGTGGAGTACTCAGTACCTTTTGTTTGATGTTGCTGATGAGACCTAAAAAATAATTCCTTAAAAAAACCTATTAAAATGTAACAAAACTGATATATCGTTCTTTTTCTTGTCTCATAGACCATAAGACATGTATATCAAAGTGGTAATTTATATGAAGAAGCATCTGCTATCCTTCACATAAGTATGGTTTATGTGAACTACAAATGCCTTTCATCAATATTAAAGAAGCTTAAATTGAACACTGTGTGATTAGTTTAGCGCTAATTCCGACCTGCATGAAATGACAAAGTAATTTTTTCTTTTTTTTGAGACAGTCTCACTCTGTTGCCCGGGCTAGAGTGCTGTGGTGTCAGCCTAGCTCACAGCAACCTCAAACTCCTGGGCTCAAGCGATCCTCCTGCCTCAGCCTCCCAAGTAGCTGGGACTATAGGCATGCACCACCATGCCCAGCTAATTTTTTCTGTATATATTTTTAGTTGTCCAGCTAATTTCTTTCTATTTTTAGTGGAGACGAGGTCTCGCTCTTGCTCAGGCTGGTCTTGAACTCCTGACCTTGAGTGATCCGCCCGCCTCGGCCTCCCAGAGTGCTAGGATTATAGGCATGAGCCACCGTGCCTGGCCAAAAGTGATTGTCTTGAAGAAGCTCACACAGAACTCATACTCCATATCCCACAAATTATGTTTACTTTGCAATGAAAAAAATCAGCCACTAACAATAACTACCAATACAGAAGAAAAGTGCTTTCAGGCTGAAATATTGCTGCTGCATAAACGAGACAATTTTAGCAACTAAACCCAGAAACACATTTAGTTGAAGATGACTTCTGAAACAGATGTAACTTTTGAAATGGAAAGTCTGATTTCATAGAGGGATGGTGCTCCCTACACCATTGTATACTGGCAGCTTGCCTTGGGCTTCGCTGCAGAAGTAGCACAATCAGACGGATGTGAGAAGAGGCCTTTCTGACTGGTTCAGAGCTGCTCAGATAATGTACACTGGAATCTCTCTCCCTTACTGATTTTTCAATGATATGAGATACAGAACAAACACAAAAAAGGCCTTAGAAAAATACACTAGTTTTGAATTTTAAAAAGATTTAATTTACCTTCCTTACTTACCTGCCTAGCTGGGATAGTATATTTTTTTCCTTTTTTTTGTAGAAACAGTGGGTCTTGCTATGTTGCTCAGGCTGGTCTCAAACCTGGGAGTGATCTTCCCACCTTGGCTTCCCAAAGTGTTGGGATTACAGGCATGAGAGCCACTTGGACATACTCTGTATTTAAATGCTATTGAAAATTAGAAATTATATTAGCTTCGTAATTGTTTTATATCATGAAGAGGTTAACAGATTATTCAAAAATTGTGACTTAATCTCATTTTACACTGTTAAAAATATGGAGTTTTCCTCTTAATTTCTATTCTTAATATTAAATGGGAGCACATTTAGACTGAATTTCTCTTCCTAAAGAATTTATATATTCCTTATGAATTTTGAAAGAATTGTTTTCTTTCAAAGGTCCTTATCTTTCAACCTACTGTCTTTAGTAGTTTAGCATAAAGACAAAAATTGTTTCACACAGAAGCTTTTGCTTTCTACAGGGTATTGATTTAGTATCACAACAGTGACAAGTCATGCCCTAGGTTTCAACCATATACATCATAGAAAGTCAGAGAATGGAAGAATGTAGGCTAGCAGTAACAAAAGTATGGGCCTTTTATGATTTTGATTTAATGTAAATCTTAATCTTCTTAAAATGTGCTATTTAAATTACCATAATTAAAATATCTTAAGACTTAGTTCTTAGAAATATTGTTTTAAAGACAGTGTAAAAAAAAAATAGTGTACTCTAGTAGTGGGTGCAATTCCAGATTCTTAGATTTACTGATTTTTAAATAAAATCACCAGTGTTCAAATATTAATTTTGGAATACTACCTATCAAAAAAAAGAACTGAGTTCCGCCCATGGTTGCTGACCTAGAGCATGTTACAAGCCTTACAGCTCTAAATTATTCATGTTTATGGGATTATACTCTTCTAATCTGTATGTCATAGTCCTTGAAAGACAGGGGCAAGGTATGGGAAGGATTAAAAGACTGTATACATTTTTAAAAAGAAATTCCTTTTTATGGTCATGACATTTTCAGTTTTCTGTAACACATCTTACCACAAGAATAGTAAAAGCAGAACATAAGGTTCAATAATTGCTACTCCTGTAGACTCTCACACAGAAAACCAATCTCAAATAGACAATGAGGGTCATAAGAAAGCACACGAATGCTACACAGGTGGGACCATTGACCTCTTTGAAATAAAAAGAAATCACTTGTTGAGTTCAGAGGTGATGGAGGTCGAAACACTTTAGCCACAAACAACATGAAGTGTGCTGCCAAGACACTGTCTTCAGTTCTGGGAGCTTGAGTTTACATGTTTCCCAAATGGTACAAGCCTCATAACAGTCCAATAAATCAATAAACGCTTGGGAAATATTAATAAATTTTTATGAACTATTACTATAAAGAACTTCAGCAAGAGGGGAGATAAAGTTTAGTGATCTTTCAGTAAACATGTTTAGCGTAACAGTCTTTGCGACTAGATATTTAAAAAAAAACCTCAAGCTTAGAAACACCATGGCTCTGTATTAAAACTGGTGTACACTAAAAACAGGATAATGGAAATACGTGTTCTTAAAGCATTTCCACAGGAAATGTTCATGACATTCTAAATCACTTAGCAATTACATATGCTACATTAGCTAAAACACAGGTATTCTTTATTGCACATTTCAAAGTTGTAAGGACATACTAGCTTAAGAGGTGATTTTTATTTAAGGGGAAAATGATATTAATTGTTTGGCTCAAAAGTGCACACTGCCAAGGCAGCTTAGTTCTAAAAACAAACCTTTTAAAATAAACTTTTGGATTTTGAAGCCAATGAAATCATTTACTGTAACTAACGAACAGTGAGTGCACAGTCCACTTTCTCTCCAACTAAACGTCAGAGGTCATAGTTACGGGCTCTGTTTTAAAGCCTGTGAACAGTCCTGATTACTGCTCTGAGTAGCAGGTGGAGGCTCATCTCTAGAGCCTGAAGGCAGTAAGTCTCTTGCAGCAGGTGGTGGTGGGTAGTCCTGGGGGCCATGGGTTGGGGGTGGTAGTCGGGTACCAGGAGTAAAGTACTCTCTTGGGCCAAGAGAACCTAAAGGTCTAAATGGTGTGTGTCCTGGTAAAAATTCCCGAGGATCAAGAGGCAGGTCCCGTTTTCCAGGTGGAACTCCTGGTGCATATTCTCTTAAGCCTAGTGGTGGACGCATACCAGGACCTGAAAAACAAAAGTTCAGTTATGTAAATACATCTACATTAAGATGGTTCCAAATACATTAATATAGTCTTTTATTTCTCATAACTCTAGAAATTCAAGGAGTGCCCAACTTTATAGTGAGGCAAACTGAGGTTTAGCAAGTTTAAGATACATGCCTATGGCCAGCCTGCCACGAAACAGTATAGGCTCTATCTAGTTCCAGACTTGTGTTTTTTCCACTACACAATTTTGTCATCTTTATCTCAAGAACTTGGTTTGGACTTAGAAATACTAAGAAATAGGGTTTCATTGCAACAAAGAAATTCTGACAAAGGAAATTCCATTGTTTGTTACTGTAGCAGTTAAAAACTTCATGCAGTATCTCAGCGTGGACCTAACACATGCCATCAAAATCAAGGTGTCTGCCACGCTGGATAAGGTATAAATTCTACAGTCTCTTTAACAGCTCCCTTCCATCTATACCCAAGGTGAGGAGTGACAGTTTAATTTTTCTTTTATATTGTGACCCACTGCTTATGCTTCCACTATGAGTGATTACAGAATGTAGGTATCTATGACCTATGGGACATCTTAAGTTAGGAGACGTGTCTTATTTGCCTTTCTATTTATTACAGAGCCTAATACGTAGCCATAGACATCTGCAGAAGTAATATTTCTGGCTTTCTATAAATAGCCCCTTTTCTTGTCTATAAGAGATAGCTATTGCCCATCTCATTACACAGAGATTACGAAGTACCCTAAGAAATGTGGGGAAAAGTACTAAGTTCAGTTCATCCCTGCATTGCAAAGCCCTGCAATTACCACTGTTTTAGCAAGGAATAGAAAGAAAAGATGAATATGCTTTATAAGTCAATTACAACTTTCCAGATCATCATACCAAATGGTGGAGGAAGTGGCCGAGGCCCAAATGGCCCACAGAGCTGAGGAGGTGGTCCATATCGAATGGGTGGCGGCAGAGGGCCTCCCACAGGGGAGCTCATGAGAGGCACTCCTGGGTAAGGAGGGGGCCCTTTTGTAGCCATATTAACCTGCAGAGCAGAAGCAATTAAAGTCTTGAAACACTCTGGTATGACAGACAAAAGCACCAATGCCAGTAAAAGCTAAAACCTAATGAAGCAGATGTCAGGCAACTGTCCAAAGAGTAGAATCAAAGCAACTAAATACCACCCTCCCATTTGTTCCCATGGTCAGCTTACAGAAATTAAAAGTATGCATAAGAGTGATCAGTTTCACATCATATAAGTGGAAAGGAAATCACATAAATGGAAAGGAAAGCAAATAAGGACTGTCAAAGGTTATTAACGGAGGTCATTCCATACTAACATAAAAATTATACTATACAAGTCATGATCTATTTCTAAAGCAGTCCCTCCCTTTGCACATCTCTCCCATCACCACAACAGATGATTTCCATATTAAGAGCACAGAAGGAAAGGTAATAAAAATCCATTCTCTACACATGTAATCATAGCTACTATTCAGAGTACCTTCAATAGGCCTTTCATATATTATCTCGAATTCTCAGATCTCTAAATTTCTAATAAGATCATCTTGTTCTAATAATGAAGGAACAGAAGCATAGGGAGTATTAGATAATTTGCTGAAAGTCACACAGCATGTAGGAGCCTCAGCTGGGATTAAATACCAGGTTTGACTCCAAGCCCATGTTCTTTCCACCTCTGCTTCTCCTCTCTAACATGGGGGGCTCTACTCTCTGTGAATTCTACTTTCAAAGGAGTCTGACATCGTATCCAAGCTGTCCTTGAATAAAAATCTCTCAAGGGATGTGTATTCCTGAAGTCCTATGCTGGAACTTGGAAGTATTTTCCAACAGAAACAATGTTATTTACACAAATTAGGCACAACTCTAATGCTGACCTTCTTTACCAGTAATACTGTCTAAGATAATTTCCTCTAAGAAACTGGGTTTTGCAAACTCTCAATAATTATATTTATTTTGATTTCAACACAGAGAAGCGCTGTCAGGTATGATCAGAGGACTTACTAACTATAACAGCTATATAAGTTACAAGAAAATATACTTATGTGAACATAGTTTAAAGACATTGCTGGAAACTGGCTCAACGGGTAATTACAGACTTTCACTATTCAGTATTTCACATCTAATGAACATTCTTCTGTTATTAATCTGTAATTTCAGATCATTCAAAATAAGGTTTTGCCTAATATACAAGTGGAGGTATTCTTAAATAGCATACTTCCAAATGAAGATATAACAATATATTATGCAATTTATAATGAATTTATTTGCCTAAGGGCATTAAGCAATACAGCATACTTACAAGGATGACTTTTCACATTTTTTAGTTAATAACAATTAGAGCAGATGCTCTAAACACGGTAATCATCTAACTGAAACAGGAAAGAAAAGAAAAAAACCCAACCAACTAGATTTCAGCAACACTCCCAAGTAAAGGACAAAAGTAAGATTACAATCTCACGTAAGATCAATCTCACCATGCAATTTAAAGCAAAGATGATTAGTGTCATGCTCCTCAAATCCTTGCTAGCAATAAACCAAACGAAAGCCCAGTTCAGTCCTCAACTTTCAAGCACTTACAGCTACTGGATGATCAGCCACAGACGTACTGCTGGGAACTGAGGAGCCTTCAGGCTCTTGGAGAACAGTTTGCTTTTTTAAAAAATAAGTGAGATAGTACAGATATGACAGAACACACAAACAGGAGATGAGGTAAAGAGTGTGTGTGTAGGAAAAGCTAAATGTCCCTGAAATACCTAATTATAATTCTAAATGACTGAATTTTACCTTGCCTTCATCCATCACCTTAGTGGGGGAAGAGTTTCTTGAGCTGCTGTTCATCATGGAAGCTGTACCAGATCCTGGATCTGTTAAAGGCCAAAGAACTGATTTAGACTTATTCTGATCTGTATACTCTGTGAGGAACATAACTACCCACTTCCTCCATGGTTTTAGACTCTTTTAACACACTTAGGTTCCTTACCAGAGGCAGAAGGTTTCCCAGGTGCCTCAGATGACCATCGAGGACGAGGAAGAGGCCCATCCACTGACCCTTGAGAAAGAAATTAACAGAGTCCTTGAATGTATTTTTCAGAAGAAATAAACCAACTGTGGACAGGTAAGGGTTCAATTCTACCTAGAAACCAACATTAAAAACGGGTCTCCGAATACATGAGGGGAAATCACTTATAATTTATGCACAGACTTAAAGAATTAAAATAAGAACTATCTTTGATTGAAAGTACAACAATAACCCCTGCACATTTTTAATAGCACTGGTTTGGCACTCTAAGCTACAGACTTGATGTAATTCTACAGGCTGATTTTTTTCAGTCAATATGATTTCCATATCTGACCAATTTGACATTTTTCTTTTTCTTTTGAGACAGAGTCTCACTCTGTTGCCCTGGCTAGAGTGCCGTGGTGTCAGCCTAGCTCACAGCAACCTCAAACTCCTGGCCTCAAGCGATCCTCCTGCCTCAGCCTCCCAAGTAGCTGGGACTACAGGCATGTGCCACCATGCCCGGCTAATTTTTTCTATATATTTTTAGTTGTCCAATTAATTTCTTTCTATTTATAGTAGAGACGGGGTCTCGTTCTTGCTCAGGCTGGTTTCAAACTCCTGGCCTTGAGTGATTCACCCGCCTCAGCCTCCCAGAGTGCTAGGATTACAGGCGTGAGCCACCTCACCCGGCCTATTTGACATATTTAGGATTCAAAACAGACTTACAGCATTTCATATTACAGTAATGAGAAATGGAAATAGGTATGCTGCATAAACTGTAAAGTTTTCAGGCTCCTTTTATAATACAGTTGACCCTTGAACAATGTGGGTATGCTGACCACCTTCCCAACCCCACAACCTCTGCACAGTTGAAAATCCACATGAAACTTTTGACTCCTCCCAAACCTAACTATTAATACTAATAGCCCACTGTTGATCAGAAGGCTTACCAATAACAGTCGATTAACACATATTTTGTATATGTATTATCAACTGGATTCTTACAATAAAGCTAAAGAAATGAAAATGTTACTAAAATTATAAGGAAGAGAAAATATATTTACAGTACTGCAAGTTTATACTGTTTACAAGATGAACCGTCTGAGATGGTGGGAAACCACAGCTGCAGACTTCAATCTACAGGACATATCGAGCAAGTCAACATTTTCTTGTAATGTCACTTTTCTCTGCTTCTTCGGAAGCACTTAACAGAGCCACGTCGTATGGGTCCCATGGTGTTATTCAGGTTTGTGTTATTGCATTAGCATGATGAAAAATGCGTAAGAACCATAACTCATTTTACTGTGATATGCAATCTACTGGAGGAACGAACTACTTGTGTGGAGATGATCAATGTCACACAGCATTTTAAGTGAACACTCATAACACTTGAGCTGACTGCAATAGCAACAGGAAGTGGCTATGAAATTATTATAGTACAGTATGTATGACAGCTAATTTTATGCAGTTATGATTTAATACTGCATCTTCATGTTTATATTTTTCAAAACTGCAAATGGCACCTTGTATGCTCTGTGTGTGCATAAGTTTTGATAAATTTTAACTTTCATAATAAATGTGTATTTTTATGATAGTAAATGATAAAATAGACTAGTATCTATGTATATTTTATGCATTCATGACATACATTTTTTTGATATTTCTAGGCTATCAATTTCTAGGCTACTTGAGTTTTTCCAAATTGTCGCAAATCTCCAAAAAATTTTCTAATATGTTTATTGAAAAAAATCCACATATATATATGGACCTGCACAGTTCAAACTCATATTGTTCAAGGGTCAACTGTATTTGGGAGAGGAACCTCAAAGCATTTTAATTTAAAGATAAGGGTTTATACTTCACAGTAAAAAATTAAAAAAAAAAAAAAAAAAAAACAGGAAAAAACAAGAAAGGAACCTCCAAGAAAATAATTAATGCTTTCTTTTCTAAAGCAGATCTTGCATTAGACTATCCACCAAGACAAATTAAGAAATCTTCTTTTCTATACTGGACACACCCAAATTCTAAAGTGTTGTTTATAACAGAATTTTCAAATAAAACAGAAAAAATCCTCTTGAAACAGTTTATTGCAAGGTAACATTGCGAATGCTCACCAAATTCACTTCTAGGCATATCTCTTCGATTGAGAGTAGCAGAGAGTGGTCTCACAGGTGGCTCCACCGTCAGTGGAGGGGAGCACTCACCACCACTCACGGGGGATGGGCCAAAAGAGCCATTCTGGCTCAGAGCACCTGAAGATGACAGTGTCTTGTTACCACTTTAACTAAAACAGCCTTTTTTTCCTTTAGTAAGTTCTTGGGATTATTTCTAGGACATTATAACTATTATACATAGAAATAAAAAGTAATTTATATACATTTTGCACCAAAAAGTATATTTCTAGTAGCTTTCTGCCCTTTACAAAGTGTTCCCTTACCTCTCCTTGGAGGGTTTTGTGTATTTGGTCTTCCTGGCATTGGTTTTACAATCACAGGTTCTTCTTGCAGCATTGCCATTTTTTGCGTTAATTCCAATATTCTTGAATATAGAGAAAGAATGACTTAAATATGAAATAGAAATCAATCCCTTATTAAATACCACATAGCCTTAAAACTCTTATATGTATACTGAAAACATACAGATCAAAATCACATACTTGTGTCTCAAGTTGGTGGCTTCCCTTTTCTCTTCAGCTATGGCTCTTTCTGCAGCCCGAGCTTTGAGCTATTGGAGAAAAAGTATCCAAATTCAGTTGTGGTAGACTATGCACAAAATAAAGGAAAGAAAAAAAATCTTACCCAGTTATCATGAGCTTTCTTTTCATGAGTAGCAATCTGAAGAAGACAATACATTAAAAAATATATTTAGGGATTCATTATAATAGTCTGTATTAGTTACCAAAGAATTCTACAACTGTAGGGCACTATAATTATTACCTGGTTTTTAAATGAGCGCTCTGTTTTCTGTAATTCATCCTCCATTTCTTCAATTCTCCGCCTAAGAATTGCACTTGGTTTTATCAGTTAAAGCACAACTGAATAAAATTTCAAACAATCTGACTATGTCACCTTTACTCTGACAACTGTACCGTGACTTTATCCATATATGGAAAAACATATTTTACATGGTTACAATAAGAGTACAACTATACTATCTGATCAAAACTATACTATCTAATTTCTTTATCATTTAATGACTGGAGATTCTGAGTTGATAAATCATAATTCCTTTATTCTTTAGTATGTTCTCAAATAATCCTGCTATGAATATCTTCCTGTATAAAGCTTTTTTCTTCCTTTAATTATATCACAGAACATTACTCAGAGTTAGAACTACTGTGTCTATTAAATGGCACAATCACTTTAATGGCTGTTGATACATCATATAACAAACTGCTTTCTTAAAGAATTTCCATAATATACAACCACTAGAACTGTTTGCATGAACCAAGTTCCGTTACAGTCTTTCCTGCATTTGGGCATAAGTTTTTCTTAACATTTTTTCATTTGTTAACTTAAAATTTAGTTTTTCCCTTGTGTTAACTGAACATATTCGTGTCCTCAGATCATTTATTTATGGTTTTCTGCTATTTTCTTCTACATAATGTAAAAAGTTAAAAAAGAAAGAAAGAAAAGAAAGCCAACCGTTTCATCAGCCACTAACACCCTCTTTAAAAGCTAAACTCACTTGTAAGTTTTTACTTCTTCTGCAGCCAAAACTGCCTTTTCATCTGCAGCTGACAGTCTCTGCTCTCTTTCTTGCCGCTCATACTCTTCTTGACTCAATTTCCTAAGATAAAACCAGTTGTCAGTGGAAGTGTTTCTCTTTCCTCCCCCCTCCTATTCAAATGTCACTTCCCATTCTACTCTCAAAAATGCATAGACAATGTTATAGGAAGGAAATCAAACTGCCATTTAGGGATAAAAATCAAACTCTGGCCTGTTGACAAATCATCGTATTTTCTAACTTCTCATAATTCTCTACTCACTAGTAAATTTTAAAAATGTAAAAAATAGGGCCAGGTGCAGTGGCTCTCCCCTGTAATCCTAGCATTCTGGGAGGCCAAGGTGGTGGACTGCTCAAGGCCAGGAGTTCGAAACCAGCCTGAGCAAGAGCGAGACGCTGTCTCTACTAAAAATAGGAAGAAAATTAATTGGCCAACTAAAATATATAGAAAAAATTAGCCGGGCATGGTGGCACATGCCTATAGTCCCAGCTACTCGGGAGACTGAGGCAAGAGGATCGCTTGAGCCCAGGAGTTTGAGGTTGCTGTGAACGAGGCTGACGCCATGGCACTCTAGGCCAGGCAACAGAGTGAGACTCTGTCTCAAAAATAAAAAATATTGTGTGCCCCATGGCAAATCTCTTGTACTTGAGATAATGAAAGCTCACTTTACTTCAATGTGCAAAGCCAGGACTGATCAACCTAACAATTAAGTTTATTAAGATAAAGCAGGGGATAATTACTTGTCTTATTTCTAACCATGGAAAGAACACTATTTTCTTATTTTGTCATGGAAAAACTGTTTCTCATCCTAAGACTGGTACCATGATAAAGATAGCCAAAAAAATAAGAGCCTTTTAGAACATGTCTTCTAACTGTGCAATTAGCACAGAACATTTTCACACTTCAAATATGAAATTCCTACTACCTATTTCAATGGAATCATGATTAAGGGAAGTGGCAAATCTGAGTATTGGCAATGTCTATCAAATAGAAAAAGTATCTGAACTGTCCCATAATCAGGGTATTATGTACTGGAAACTGATTTTAATCTGATAACCATCAAGTTCAAAATATCAATCTGCTATACATAGATTGGAAAGGTAGCAACACTTAATGATTTAAAAATACCAGTGACCCTTGTACTTTTTAACTCATAGTTCTGATTCAAAAGACACTTAACTTGAAACTTAATTTTCTATGAATCAGAAACAAAATTAGAAGAGCTATAGTAAAAAAGGTTATTAATACCAAAGAGAAAAAGGTTTATGTATTCTTTTATAATTGCTCATTCAATACTTCAGCAAATATTTTATGAGTGTCTATGTAATACTAATTTCCTTGTAAGATGCTAAGACAAAAGTATGGGTAAAATGCCATCCCTACACTAAAGGAGTTCACAGTTTAATGTATAAAAGATGTATGTAAGAACAGTACAATCCTTAACTCTGATTTAGGAAGGAATGTAAAAAACGTTAGCCTTGAAGAAAAGATTAGAGAGAATTTTGCTTCCAATAATGGAGGAGTTAGTCTGAAAATACTGAGAACAGTAAGAATATCTGGACAGAAATACAAAGAACATGCTTAAAGGCATCAGAAAGCTAATAAGGCAGTGAAAATATACATGTTACCAAAATCCAGTAGGAAAAGGAATCATAGAATTATACGTAAGCCTGGCATTTTAAGCCACTTTTCCCCTAGGTTCATCCATATGTTGAAGACAATGCAGAGATATAAGGAGACTGAACAGAGCTTTCAACAGATCTCCCGGTTCAGAGAAACAAAAAATGGAGTTCAGGGCTGCTAATGAGGACGACCCCTAGGAAAAGCCCTAGGCTTAGAGTTGAGATTAGGAAGAGCTGCACACTTCAAGTATTGAACAGGCAATAATACGATGTCCTCTGAAGGGACTAAACTGTTTTTGTATAATCTTAATTGCTGACTGGATGACTAAAGTGATGACCACCTGCTAGAAGTAACTGCAAATCTTTTCTAGAGAAAGAAAACATCCTAGGCCTCATATTTCCTCTATAATTATCATACACAATGTTCAATTCTACTTGAAGAACATCCTTTAGTCATAAATTTGATGAACTTATTTTTTTTATGAAAATGTTCCACATAATGGGATTACCACTCAGATTTTAAATAATTGTGCCTAATCCCAGGGACTTGGGTGGCTGAGGCTGGAGGACTGTCTGAGGCCAGGAGTTTGAGACCAGACTGTGCAACACAGCAATAACCCATCTCTAAAAATAAATAAATAATTGTGCTTTATATATTCAAGGGAGTAAAAGTCAAGATTATGAATTTCAGCAGAGAATGAGAAACTATAAAACTGAAAAATAGTAACTGAAACCAACAACTTAATGACTGACTAGCAGCAGATGTAACAACTGAAGTGAGATTTTATAGCATACTGGAAAATAGGTCAGAAGAAACATACAGAATGAAGCAAATTCAGACAGAATGTAGGAGACATGAGGGTGAGGGGGGAGTCCAAGATGTTTAAAATTGGAATCTCAGGAAGAGAGAAAATGAGGCAGAATATGCAAAAAAGGACCCCAAAATTCAAGAGATGTTTATAATCCCAAACAGCATAAATGAGAAAGAGAGAGAAGCAAAAACCCTACATTTAAGCATCTCCCAATAAAACTGCTGAACAACCAAAAAGAAAAATGACTAAAAGCAGCTAGGGCAGGGGTGAGACATTTGGAAAAGAGAAAATAAGAATGATCATGGATTCCTCAAAGAAACTTTAAAACCAGAGATAATTAACTGGGTACCTTTGAAGTGCTAAAATTAAACTGTCAAAATGCTAATATAGCCAGCAGAAAGATCCTTTAAAAATGGAGTCAAAATAAAGACATTTTCATACAAAATTAAACTTATTAAATCTGTCACTAAAGGATATTCTTCAGATAGAATGAATGTGATCCAAAATGGAAGACCAAAGACGTGGGAGAATGAAGAACTGCAGGAGCTACAAGTATGCATGTAAAGTAAAAGAATATCTGCAGGACAGCACTGTAAAAGACAATAAAAACCTATTGTGGAGTCTGATCTATGTAGAGAATTAAAATACATTACACAATAGCATCAAAGTCAGGAAGGAGTTAAAGCCCAGAAAAAGGTAAATCTATTAATTTATATCAGACTTCTTAATTAAGTCCAGGATACACGCTGTGGTCTTTAAGGTAATTATTAAAAGGTGAATAAAACAACCTATAACTACCAAGCTTAAATACAGGAAGAAAAGAGTTGTATTGGTATTTGCTCTCTGTATGATGGCCTGTTCTTCTGTGTTCCTTCTTTTCTTTTTTTCTGTCTTTTGAACTGTTTGAATATTTTAATATTTAGATTTAATCCTAAATACATATTTAGGAGTTATAAGAAAAAAAAATGAGTACTCAGTCTGTATGGCTATCTATTTATTTATGCTCGCTCCAGAAAAAATTTGAAGCAGCATAAATATTTGAGTGGGAAGGAGAACACAACCAATGTTACTGCAGAGAAATAGCCTAAAGACAAAGAGGCTTAGAGCAGCAAGGGGGAACCACATTCAGTGTGCAGTTCAGGAAGCATCAGAAGAAGCTGCAGGCTGGAGCGTAAGCTAAGGATCAGCGGAAGGGAACTGGACTCTAGACCTGCTAAGTAGTCTAGAATTGATCTCGAAGGGACTGGAGCATCTTTGATAGCTTTTGAACACAAAACGACATGGAAAGACTTATATTTGAGAAAGTTCACTCTAGCAGCTATAGATAAAGTTAGAAGAAGTTACATAAGAAAGGAGATTGGAGGTAGGTGATTAGATAGAGAACTGGCAATGAAGATGACAGGAGCCTGAACACAGTGGCTTTGGGGATGGACAACAGAGTACAAAAGCCATCTCAAATGGATGTTGGGAGAGCTAAATAAAACATGTATCATAAAGAAAAACAGTTGCTATTTAGGTAATTCAGATTACTACTGGTGGCAGAGAAGTGCTCTTTAAAAAGTAGTAATGAAATGAGAAATGTTTCTTTGAATCTGGCGAGGCATTCAGAGCTGGCCTGAATAAAATCTGGAAAATCTAAACTGGCTGCTCAGTGAACAAAGAATTAAGAGAAAAATTTAATGGTATCATTCAATATTTAAAGGCTTCAAGGCAGTAGCAGTCTAAGCATTTAAAAAAGATTAAATCTGCTTAACGACACAGGCCTCACAGACTGCCACATACACTGGAGCGTGTAAGAGTAAATAAAAACAGCAACTGGCGCAGATAACCTATTTTTAGAGAAGTCAGATATTTTTGTGGGGAAATAAAATGAACTACAAGAATATATCTTTAAAAGATACATAGCTCCAAATTTGAGATGTGTATTTCAGAAGATTCGTACCTAAATATACTCGCCAAACAAGTATTTCTATATTCAAAATTCCTAATATCCTTTGCCACAATTAAACTGTTTAGTCTCAATATTTGACTGTACCAGAGTCCAAAACTTATGATATCTTCAAATACTAAATATACCTTTTGAAGTTTGTAGTCTACTAAAACCATGTCACATAAAAACCACTCAGAATTTTTTTTTTTTTTTTTTTTTTTTGAGACAGAGTCTCACTTTTGTTGCCTTGGCTAGAGTGCCGTGGCGTCAGCTTAGCTCACAGCAACCTCAAACTCCTGGGCTCAAGCGATCCTTCTGTCTCAGCCTCCCGAGTAGCTGGGACTACAGGCATGCACCACCATGCCTGGCTAATTTTTTGTATATATGTATTTTAGTTGGTCAATTAATTTCTTTCTATTTTTGGTAGAGACGGGGTCTCGCTCAGGCTGGTTTCAAACTCCTGACCTCAAGCAATCCGCCCGCCTCGGCCTCCCAGAGTGCTAAGATTACAGGCGTGAGCCACCACGCCCGGCCACCACTCAGAATTTTTAATGACAAACTAAGAGCCAGTGAAACAAATGCAAGACAAATCAGAATTACATAAATGACCACAAAGAAAGGAAAGTGAAGTGGTGGAGCCACAGAAAGGGTATATATCTTCAAAAAGCAGCACTTCCGCAGCACTAACAACACAAGCAGACTACTCCCTCTCAAATGAATTACAAGTAACAATTCCTGACAACTGATTCGAATAGGAAGAAAACTATAAATTATGAGAAATGAGGCAGAAAAGAAGACAAATCTATACTACAGACGGAAAAACTTGTAAATAATGCTAAAAAAAAAAGATAAAAATTATCTGGCCGGGCGCAGTGGCTCACACCTGTAATCCTAGCACTCTGGGAGGCCGAGGCGGGCAGATTGCTTGGGGTCAGGAGTTCGAAACCAGCCTGAGCAAGAGCGAGACCCCGTCTCTACTATAAATAGAAAGAAATTAATTGGCCAACTAAAATATATATATATATATATGTATATACATATATATAAAATTAGCCAGGCATGGTGGTGCATGCCTGTAGTCCCAGCTACTCGGGAGGCTGAGGCAGAAGGATTGCTTGAGCCCAGGAGTTTGAAGTTGCCGTGAGCTAGGTTGACGCCAGGGGCACTCACTCTAGCCTGAGCAACAAAGCAAGACTCTGTCTCAAAAAAAAAAAAAAAAAGATAAAATTATCTATATTAGTACACGCATTTAGTCACACAACAACGAAAACCTTACTTTTGCAGAGCCATCTCCTTCTGCTGATAGAGTTCATTCAGAATCTCCACTTTCTGTCTCAAGGTTTTGCATTCATCTTCCAGTCTAGCTTTAGCAGACTGCAGTGAATTACGGTCATCTTCTAATTTCTTTATTTGGTCTGTGAAGGATAAAATATTTACACTCTATGTGTGTGCACAGGACCTGAGAACTTGGTTGAGAGGTGGTGCTGAGAGGAGTGAGAAGTATGAAAGCAGAAAGCCATTCTTTATCTTTCCAATATATGGCAACTTCTGAAGAAGAAGTAACCTACCTTCCAGGTCACATTTAGTGGACATCGAGGCTCTTAGCTTAGACTGTAAAAGTTTTAGATCCTCTTCAACCACTGATACTGCAGTTTCTGTCTAAAAATTGCAGAAGAAAGAAGTATTCTTAAAAATGGGGCATAGTAAGAATATCCGGGCACTTGTAGGATTCTAAGAAAGGATTATACCCAAGAGACATCCATCATCTGCTTAATTTGATTTTTCATCTTCTCATTCCGGTCACCTATAAAACAAAAAGCTTTAATTGCTTTTTCTTCCCTTGCTTTTTAACTCTGTATTTTCTTGATTTCTCCCAAACTAAACAATTATGTTCAAATATTGAAAGAAAAAAACAAAACCAACAGAACTGATAAGACTATTTTTAAGGGAACTGCTTCTACTAGGATCTTCATTTTTTAAAGAAAAAAAGAGAATTACAAATGTAAGTTCAGTAAGTAAATTCCCATTTGTACAATAAAAATGTTATCCATGACATTCTGAGCAAGAAAAATTATGAGATAAAGCTCGTTCTTCTCTCTCAGATCTCTCTCTACCTGGGACAAATGTCGTATTTACAAAGATTCACTTCTGCTGTTATCTCCCAGGCGTCGTTTAAAACTGTGGCCCCCAACACCAGACCGCAGACCAGTACTGGTCCACGGCCTATTGAGATTGAGCCACACAGCGGGAGGGGTATTTACAGCTGCTCCCCATCGCTTCCATCACTGCCTGACCTCCACCTCCGTCAGATCAGTAGTGGCATTAGATTCTGCATTATGGTGAGTTGTATAATTATTTCACCATATATTAAAATGTAAAAATAATAGAAACAGAATACACAATAAATGTAATGCACTTGAATCATCCTGAAACCATCCCCTCCCCCTTTCCTGTCTGTGGAAAAACTGTCTTCCATGAAACCAGTCCCTGGTGCCAGAAAGGTTGGAGACAGCTGGTTTAAAACACCTACTATGCAAGCACTATCCAATTTGAGAGACAGTGTCTAGAAACATTTCCCCATCAGTAAACAATGCTACCCTCCAGCCTCCACTCTCATAGCCTTAGTTTCTGGCTCTAACCACCTCAGTATTCTATAAACTGGCTGTGGGACTTAAAACCACAGAGCTACGGAAATGATAAGTATTAAAATTTCATCTTCATGAAGTTGAGAAACAAGTTCCTTCTACTCTATGTGTTTAACACTTAGAGGTATAAGACCCAACCAGCGCAGCTCCAGTGCACTCAAGTTCTCAATGGAATGAAAAAACAAAGTCAGTGTTCTTTGTATGCTTACTGCTATACCCACACCCAGCAACCCACCCTCAGCCCAAGGTAAACAGTGCAAACATATGTACTAATCCAGTGATACATGCTTTCAACTCTAAAGCTTAAGAAGAAATTCAACCAGCTGGTAAGTAACATCAGTGAACTTAATTAAAGACAAGAAGTCAAAAAGGGGTCCATCTTGCCTGAGACTGACCTTACCTCCAACTTCTCCATTTGCTAATTCATCTGACTCATTTTCTCCTTTATTTTGACCCTCAGATTGAGATTCACATTCACACTCTAACCGATTCAACTGTGTAATACAATTAGTCAAAGCCTAGAAAAGAACAAAAGGGTATTGGTAAGAGCCTCTCAATTTTAATTCAACAGATTTCATGAGAATTCATAAGAATTAAGCATGTATTCATGAGAATGAACTTACATTAATATTATCATCTTTGTGAGTAAGAGCTCCTTCCAAATCCTTCTGAGACTTCTCAAATGATTTGATTTGCTCACTGAGTTCAGCATGTGATTTACTCCAGTCTTCAATTTCCTGCTGCAACTGAAAAGTAAAAACGTGATTCCCACAGTTAGGGTTTTTGCACTGAGAGAATAGGACCATGTCCTGTCACTACCGGTTAAGACCTCAGTTAAGGGTGGCCCCAACCCACAGAGCTGTAGTGTGAACATCAGAGCTATCAAGGAAGTTGATCCAGGTTATTGCATCCTGTGGAAAATTACAGCCAATTCAAATAATTCACACCCAGTAGGAATGGAAGAACACATCCTACTATCTCCCAAGTCTAGATTCCTGATCATGTAACCTGTCCTTGGCTAGTGAAGCAGTAACTACTCAAAGAAGGGTTATAAAATATCTAATTCTTAGATCTAAAAAGCTAATCCATTGCCCCCGAGGCTACTCAAGTTAGTAGTAACTGGTTGGTGTTTGATAAAACAAAGGCTAAACACTGTAGTAACTGTAATAAATCGTACAGAAGATAGAAAATTCAGAATAGAGAATATATACATATGCCCAATTTGGAGAGCTGTTTAAACTTTGCATATCTAAGAACAGAATCCTGCACACATATTTCATTACCTGAAAAGCAGATCTGAGAAAGATATTCATGAGGTAATGATATTGGGTTCTCTATTTTATATGACCCAGGACATGAACTTTTCTTTACCTGCTCCTTCTTCTTCTTAAGCCTAGCATTTTCTTCTTGAACCCGATGGCATTCAGATTTCACCTTCTCTTCACTAAGTTTAGCTTCATTAAGTGCAATTTGAACCTAATGCAAAACACTCCTATCAGTGAATTAATCCCAAAGAAAAACAAAAGAAAGGTACATTTTCCCATGCAGACATCATGTAGTTTTCATTTTTTGCAAGTTTTGGCACACATGAAATTGCTGCTCCTCACTAATACTAAGACACAGTATTAATATTCTGCAGGAATTGTAGGCAGCTTTACCTCTGAAAATTCTGAAGCATTCATTGAAATAACATCTTTTAACTTCTCTATAGATTTCTTGTTTTCCAGTATCTGTCATGTGAAAACAGAACATAAACCATGTATTAGGACTTCAGCAGAAACACTGGGCTATGCTAAAAAGAAAAAATACTAACAAAACATATCCCAGAGCCATCCCCTGTGTTTCAGATAAAAGTAGGTGATCCAGTTTTAGTCTAAGGGAAAAATCAAGAACTTTAAGAGATAAGGGAAAATAATTGAAGGCATAAATATTTCATGGTATCTACAACCTTCTTACTTAGAAAATAATGAACTAGATGAAAGATGAAAGCAAAGAAATGAAAAAACTTTCATATAAACCAGTTCAAATCAATGGTTTTCTCCTGGTAGTAGAGAAAAAATATCCCCAAGGTCACTTTAAAAATTCTCTTGCCTGAATTAAAAATGGTAGTATTGGAGACAAAACATAGACAAATCTCACATAGAGGAATTCCAAAAATTTATGAAGATACTGGCTCTTTCAGGAAGTGGAACATAACTTTTTAACTGTGGGCTATGTCCAGTTAACTTCCTTTCAAAGAGTACAATATGCAAAAGGTAAAAAAAAAAAAAAAAAGAATAATTTTACTGCTACAGCCAAGTGGAGAAACCTGGCAAATCCTACCTTAATGAGGTTATCAAGCTTACTTGGGTGTTGGTTTATGGGAACCCTCTCTGCTACCTTTGCTACTTTTTTATAATTCTAAAACTATTCTAAAATTAAAAGGTTATTGAAAAAAGAACTTTGCAAAGCAAAACAAAATAAAAGGGCTGTTCAAACTGGGTTACAATTTCTTAGTTGTTCTATATGTTTCGGAGGGCAAAGCCAAGCAATATGAAAATTACCAAGAGTTAGGACAAAAATACTTCCTAGGCCCATAATAATAATTTGTTGTATTAGTACTTAAAATTCCACAAAAATGGAAAGAAGTGGGTTCAACTTCCCTGAATCACACTCTTAACTTTACTTAACAGAACGGAAAATAGAGTTCAACTTATTTAATCTACAAAGTAGTTCAAAAGCAAAATTATAGTAACACTTTAGCAGCAAAACTCTTACCAAGTCCTGATTCTTGACATTCTGTTCTCTCTCAGATTCTAACATAACACGAAGACTTTTAGCTGTGTCATCCAGAGATTCATTAGTTTCTTCAAGTCTCTTGATTTTATCCTACAAAAAAAGATATTAACATTAGTAATACTCCATACTTTTACTCTTGTTTTTAGAATGTCATCCCCAAAAGGAATTCTTACCTTAAATTTAATTGCTTCATCAGAGAGAATCATATTTTGTTTCTTAGCTTCTTGAACATGTTTCTTTGATTCCTTGATCTATATAAAATAAAGCATTCAGAATTTTACATTATAGTGCTACTAAAACTCATTTTCAAGTAGGTGATCCCTTACACAAGAAAGCAGTACTTTAGGCCAGGCGAGGTGGCTCACGCCTGTAATCCTAGCACTCTGGGAGGCCGAGGCAGGCGGATTGCTCGAGGTCAGGAGTTCGAAACCAGCCTGAGCAAGAGTGAGACCCCGTCTCTATTATAAATAGAAAGAAATTAATTGGCCAACTAAAATATATAGAAAAAACTAGCCAGACATGGTGGCGCATGCCTGTAGTCCCAGCTACTCGGGAGGCTGAGGGAGGATTGCTTGAGCCCAGGAGTTTGAGGTTGCTGTGAGCTAGGCTGACACCAGGGCACTCACTCTAGCCTGGGCAACAAAGCGAGACTCTGTCTCAAAAAAAAAAAAAAAAAAAGCAGTACTTTACACACAGTTTAATTACTTAAGATTTGGATGATTTATAGGAAATAATGGAAGAAAATATGATTTAAAAATAACATAATAACTGAACTATAAGACAGGTGAAAATAATTCAAGCTGGAACCATAGAGGAAAAAATAATTATACCTTCTGTTCATAATTTGACAATTTTTTAACAAGTTCTGCATTTTCTTTCATGATAGCCTTCAACTTCTCAGAAATTTGCTGTTCAGTGACTAAAAAAAGAAAACACACATGAGGTTATTATGATCACTAAATGAAATTGAATTACCCAATGTATTAGCAGCAAAGACATGTTATCTGGCACCATGAGGAAAAAATACTTCTTAGCATTAACTATCATGGCTTTAAAAAGCAATCTGTAGTTAGTAGCAATATGGATAGAAAAATATTACAATGTAAGAAACATAACTCTTATTTCATGAGATTCCTATTTAACTTTATTTCACGAAGATGGGTAGTAAAATATTACAGCTTGATATTCTTCCCTGTATGAAGCCCCTTTCTTCTCAGAAAATGGGATCACTTCAAATATATGTCATTTGCAAAGAGAAGCAGAAAATACAAGCATTCTGATTTATATTTCTATTCCTCAAATTATCTACTTAAATAAATATTTAATGTATTGATTAAATCATTAGCACAGGAACACTGTTCACGAGTACTAAATCTGCATTATAGCAACATTTAAAGCCAAGCTGTCCCAAATTTAACTAATTATCTTCTATCTACTCCCACAATTTGTTCCTCCTCATCTATCTTAATTGGTAGCATCACCATCTACTCTATCATCCAACCTAGCAACCTAGGAATAGTAAAATTGTCAGAAGTTATAAGTCAATCAGACATCAGAAGTCATGATATCTACTTCTAGCTTACATAAAACCCATACTGAACACCAATACTGAGGGAATAGTACAAATAACAAAATAAGCCTAAAAATTTACCTTGATATACTCTACTCTTTACCTAGAAGAGAGAAATAAAATTAAATTTGATGTCAAACATTTCATTAATAGAAACATATAGTTCCTAATACAACAGTCAAAAGCATAACCAAATGAGAATTTAGTAACAGTTTGGTTCAGCAAAATGAATCAATAGGATAAAAAAATAAGGTTAAAAAGCATTTCAAATGTAATTGGTAGTGATACTTCATAAATAGTCTCTATGGTAAATATCTTATTTTTGTAGCTAAAGATGTGTTTATATATTTATTAAATGAGCACCAATCATATGAAATGTGTAACTAACTTTAATAATAGAAATAACTAATATTTTCACAATAAATATACTAATGCTTTACTCAAAGTCATTTATTTTGACAACCCCAAATAGCCAGAATGAAGTCTAGAAACAACGATTGTTCAAAAAGTAAACATGTAATCTTTATACTATGTTATGCCTATTCCACTCACCAGAAAACATCTTAGAAATCCTATTCGAGGTTGAATACTGGCTGAATTTAGAAATAATTCTAATAAAGCTAGATCATTTGATTTTCCTAGGCCACTAAAAATCGTGCTCATAAATCTGAAAGGGAAGGGAAAATTGCTAGAGAAAAGTATACAAGTAACAAGAAAAATGACAGCTAACATCTATCCCAAAGGAGCAAAACCCAAATCACTCCCCAAACACAGCACTAAATTATAGGATAATAAAATCTAAGCAGTAATTTAAAACAAAAATAGTATTATTAAATTTCTTTGTAACCCAAAACATATTTCCCCTTTAAAATGTTAAAAATGGTGATAAAGCCAGGCACGGTGGCTCACGCCTGTAATCCTAGCACTCTAGGAGGCTGAGATGGGCGGATTGCTCGAGGTCAGGAGTTCGAAACCAGCCTGAGCAAGAGTGAGACCCCTGTCTCTACTATAAATAGAAAGAAATTAATTGGCCAACTAATATATATAGAAAAAATTAGCTAGGCATGGTGGCGCATGCCTGTAGTCTCAGCTACTCGGGAGGCTCAGGCAGAAGGATTGCTTGAGCCCAGGAGTTTGAGGTTGCTGTGAGCTAGGCTGACGCCACAGCACTCACTCTAGCCTGGGCAACAAAGCAAGACTCTGTCTCAAAAAAAATGGTGATGAGATACTCAAGACCAGTCCACAAATCATCCATGGTATCTCAATATTATTACAGTATCTAAACATCACTTATAATACTGTTGTTATAGGAAAATGCACTCAGAAAATTCCAACATGGAAAGAAATGACTATTTCTCTAATGTCACTAATGAGAGACACTAATGAAAGCCTCCTTTGTCTGCTTTCACTCATACTAACAAGCAAGTAGGGAGCAAGTTTCCAAAAGTCAGATGCTGAAGCTGAGGAGAAGCAGTTTCATACAGAGCCTATGTAACTTTGTGAAAGTCAAAACAGGTGCTAAGGTCAGGTGCGGTGGCTCACGCCTGTAATCTCAGCACTCTGGAGGCCAAAGAGGGTGGATCACTCAAGGTCAGGAGTTCGAGACCAGTCTGAGCAAGAGCGAGTCCCCCATCTAACTATAAGTAGAAATTAATTGGCCAACTAATATATATAGAAAAAATTAGCCGGGCATGGTGGCACGTGCCTGTAGTCCCAGCTACTCGGGAGGCTGAGGCAGCAGGGTTGCTTGAGCCCAGGAGTTTGAGGTTGCTGTAAACTAGGCTGACGCCATGGCACTCTAGCCCAGGCAACAGAGTAAGACTCTATTTCAGAAAAAAAAAACAAAAAAAAAAAAAACAGGTGCTACGATTTTTTTAAATGGGAGAAACAAGAGTGGGAAATATAAAATGTTTCCACCTTTTCCCTTTCTGTTCACCTTTCTAGTCTCCTTTTTTCCTTTTATCTGAAAAAAGGCCCCACGAAGTTAGAGAATTCCTCACAGGAATCCAGGCCAACAAAACCTCTCTTTTTAAGTGATTTTACAAATCAATTGTGCAAGGAGAGAAAACTTACTAATATAATAAATCAGAAAAAGAACATTCAATTTTAGAAAGATTTACAATTAATGCTTTTGGCCACTTTTAACTGTTACGTTTCAACTGACACCTTTTCAACTGCAAAGCTCATTTACACATTATGTTAAATACCTATGAAGCAAAATGATAACACAGTATAAGTACGTATATGCATGAGTATATGCACACATATGTACACATACGTATGAAAGACAAATTCTGCACAGAAAAAAAGACTAAGGAATAAAAAATTTAATCACATGTCTTTGGACATTATATAATCTTTATTTCCAAACAAAAAGATATTTTCTGAGAATAATAGCACATGACCAAACCAGAAAATCTGGGAAACATATATACAAGAAAAAAACTGGAAAATTACCTCATCTCTTACATAAGAATTTTTATCATTTTGATGCATTTCCTTGCATTTTTTCTCTGTGTGCATCTATGTGTGTTTATATATATCTACAGTTTATCTGCTTTTTAAAGTCTTGGTTTCTTTTTTCCACTTAACATTAAACTGTGAGCATTTGCTGTGCCCCAATATCTTTGAAATACACAAAGCCACCTAATATCTCATTATATGAATGTATGATAACTTAATAATTCCCCTATTATGGCTCATAGTAGGTTGTGCCAAGTTTTCACTCTAATAAATACCATTCCACTGAATACTCTGGTACAAGATCATTAGTATGATTGGTTATTTCTTTAGAATACATTACAAAACATGATATTAATACTATACAGAAGGATATGACTATTTTTAAGGCTTCAGGTATATATTATTTAACTTTTCAGGATGGTTATAAGAATTCCCAATTCTACCAATAGTGTATATATGCACCCACTTAATTCTTAATCTTTAGGTTTTGATATAAGGATTTATATACTGAAGTTTCCCCACTGAGATTATACACATGTTGTCTTGTGTACTTAAGTTTTTACCAACACAAAAATTACACTAAATTATTTTACAAGGTTAGCTTGAATCATAAGCATTAATTTGTGTTCATGTTAGTAACTAGAAACATAAATAAAAGGGCCAGTGATTATAAAACAAACCTTGTACTTATGAATATAAGTTAATTTAATTTACTCACAACAAGGATAGTTCTCCAGAAGAAAACAGCAAATGAAACAATTCCCAAGAAGGCAGTGGTAAGTACAGGTTTCCATGGCAGTCCATAAAAATCAGGCCCAGGCTGAACATCATCAGGCAATGTAGCAACTAACTGAAATGGACATATTAGAAATAATGGGAAAACTGAAAGAACTTAAAGCAGTCACAAAGAATCATCCATACAAATTCTAAATCAACCTGTATCAGATAACTATTTCCGCAAAAATCTTCAATTAGCTCCCACTGCTTCAAGAAAGATAGGATACTGGGAGTCTTATATTTGTTGTTTGGCTTATAGTGTTTTTAAGTATTAATATTATGAATCTAAATATCTTTAAGTTGAGGAAATAGTTCCAGTTTGCAGTAGGCCCTGCCACATCATGTTGTCTAAAACATGCTAGAATTCTTCAGGATCATATTTTTCCTTGGATAAGTTGGCCGTAATTACTTTAAAAACATCAAATGTAAACATACACATAATCAACTTTTACGAGGCTGCAAATGAAACCAGTTTGATGATAATGAACAACACAAATAATGTGTTATTTCTCTAAGATCTTAAATCGTAAATCTATTCTACTCTTACACAAAGAACACATGCTGAGTAAATTCAGAGAGTTCTTGATAACTGGTCTAAATAAACTACTCTGAATTTAACTGTCTTCTACAAAACTCAACCCCTTAATTCTGAATGTTTACTTCAAGACAGTGCATTAAATAACTGCCTGCTCTATGCTGTGTTTACTTCCCTATGCAAGTACATCATCATACTGACCCCATCCCCCAACCGTGCTGGGATTTATGGGGAAAAGAGCTGCAGGCCCTTTTCGATTTTGCTTACCAAAACGTAACAAAGTGCCTGTCACTTCGCAAGTGCTCAATAATAAAATGAATACGTGATGAAACCTTCTCAAATACACTCTCACTTGCCTCCCTAAACAGCATAGAAACGTCCTGCCTGCCTCGGGCCTGACACATTCCCTTTCTCCTTTGTACCGTCGGTCAGCGAGCCCCCTTTGCTCAGAACTCGTCCACCCGCCTGCTAGAGCTGGGGTCCCTCCCTGGAAACGGGGACTATCACCTCCAGCAGCCTGGCTATGAAAGCTGCGTAGAGAACCGACAGGGGTCCCAGAAGCTCCGGGTCCCCGGGGGAAGCGGTGACGGAAGGCACAGTGGCGGGTACTGAGTCCATGGTGTAGGGACAGCTCGGCGGAGGCGACGCTTCCCGGCGGATGGCACTAGACGCCCCCGTCCCGTCTCCTACTCTGGAACGGAGCGGTACAAAGACGGACAGAACCGAACTTCGCCTTCCCCAGCTACTGCCGCTTTCCGCCCGACGCGTCCCATAAAACACGTCATCAGGCAACGCCCGGGCGGACGCCAACGTGCTACGGCGCCGCGGGGGCCGAGCCAGGGCGGAAGGACCCAACTGTCGAGCGGAAGAATCCAAGACAAGGGAGAGAACCGCCCATTTTTTTTTTTTTTTTGGAGACAGAGTCTCTCTCTGCCACCTGGGCTAGATTGCCCTGGCGTCAGCCTAGCTCACAGCAACCTCAAACTCCTGGGCTTAAGTGACCCTCCTGCCTCAGCCTCCCGAGTAGCTGGGACTACAGGCATGCGCCACCATCCCCGGCTAATTTTTTCTATATATTTTAGTTGGCCAATTAATTTCTTTCTATGAAAACCGCCCCGGAGTGAAGAAGCCGGGGAGCTACCTGGAGAAGGGTTATGGGAGGGGGTAGGGAAGAGGAGAAGGGCTGGCCTCTCATGCCCGCCCAGAGCCCAGGGACCTGCCCCTATGTCCAGGCAGGAAAGGAGTCGCCTCTCTACCCCCGAGTCCTCGCCTTACTCCTCTGCTTCTGGGCCTCCAGTTGCTCTGGTGGTCTCATTCTTGCTCACACCCTATTAAGAGCCTTATGCTAAGGAGTTACGTCATTATCACTTCTGTGTCAATGGGTTCAGTTCTGGATAACACATTGTTCTTTCTTTCTTCTTTTTTTTTTATAAATGTGGGTCTCCCCATGTTGCCCAGGCTGGACTTCAATTCCTGGGCTCAAGCAATAGTCCCAAGTAGCTGAGACTACAAGTACCTGGCCACATTTTAAGGGTGTCTGACTTGTGGCAAAGGACAATGAATAGTCTAGAAATCATGTTCTAAAAGTTGAAGAAACTGGGGACATTTAATCTGAGGAAAAAAGTGGTATTTGTAGATCTTTAAAGGTGTATCTTCAAGTTGAATATAAAGTCAATTCAGAGGAACAATCAAGCAAGAACAAGCAGGAAAATCCTGGAAAAGAAGAGTGATGAAGGGTGCAGTGAGACAAGAGTGCAGGCTCTGTAACTACTCAGTGTGGTACTGGCCCAAGAGTACAGACTGACCATAGGACAGAATAGAAAATCCAGAAATAGACCCGACTGCACTGGAAACTTGGGATACAATAAGTCAGCTGGGGAAAAACAGACTTTTTAATAAGTAGTATTGGCATATTTAGAAAACCATATGGAAGATGATAAAATTGGATCTTTTTCTCATTGTTCACAAGTAAAAATTCCAAATGTATTAGAAACCTGATGCAAAAAGTGAAAACAAGTACTAGAAGAAAATGAGTAGATTTTTCTCTGTAGTATGAGTGGGCAAGACCTTACTAATTATGTGTGAAAATCTAAAAGCAACAAAGGAAAAGATACTTGTCCAGCTCCTGGGCAACTTGGCCTTCAACTTCTGAAAGTTTACTCATTCCTTTAATTTACCAAAAAAAGTCCAATTTCAACAAGTACCACAAGAGGGAGCTAAGTCCTAAAAAGCTTAGGTAAACTCCTAGATGGATTAAATGTGTGATTTGGATCATGACTCTCTGCAGAAAGATCTGAATAAATATTCTGCCATAAGTCATTCTTTCCAAGAAAGCAATCTGACCAATTCCTTTCCTGCTGAAAACCTTGCAAGGAGCAAGGTTTGACACCACTTACGATAGCACACAGCTTCCACTCGTTTTTTTGACTCTTGACAGAGTCTTGCTATGTCACCCGGGTTCCTTTCTGACTTGCCCCTGCCTCCCTCCAACAGACCACCCACCACCCCCAACTCCACTCTTTCAACAACAGCAACTACTCACGCTTCCCTGGCTTCCCCAAGTAACCTTTCCCTCACACCTCCATTTCTCTGAACATGTAATTTCTTCTGTCTGACTGCACTCTGCGCCCGACTCAACCCTTCTATTCAAACACAAATGGCATGTTAAGCTCCCACCTGTCCTTCCACTCTGCTTAAAGCATGTTTCAGCTAACTTCGGGCCTTTCCTATTGTCCTGCCACCACAATGAACCAACTTATGCCACATGCTATTCTACCACTGGGTCAATACTTCTGCTCCTGCCTGCATCATTATTATATTTCAAGTGAATGACTTTATCTCCCAGCTAGAACTGAAAGGTCCCTGATGGGAAGAACCACACTTTAAAGGTCCGCACACACCCAGCCCTAACTTGCAGCAAATCCTCCACATGTGCTGAACTGTGGACTCACTAAAGCCATATACCTGTGGCTCGTTTCAGGGGCTATCTTTCAAAGGATAAGGGGCTATTCTCATAAAAACGTTTTAAGTTCTTCACCTCATGCCCCAAATCAAAAACTTAAAAAAATCAAAATATTAAAAACCGTAGTAACACTCTAGCAAAGAAACTATATGTCAAACTTACCGTCTTAGTTAAATAAAACATGAATGAATATATTAAAAGGATTGCATTTTCCAAAGGTGTAATACTGGCTGGCTCTTCAGCATTTAGCTCTGGTTGCTTTTTTGCATCAACAGCATCAACAGGAGTGCCTTCTGCTGTAATTGGCCCTAAAATTGAAGAAGTAAATGAATATTTTATTTTAGGCTTTAGAATAAGAATTCATTTTAAATATTTATTTAGGATCCACTAAATATTAGTCACTGTGCCTAGAATATGTGGTTTTAAGATAATCACACAGAGAAAAAAAATTCAGAATACCAATTAGAGCCATCATACCCTTCAATTACAAAATGAATGCGTCTCCAACTCACTCCACCCCCTATCAGTCCCCTCCAGCACCTCCCTAGCAACATAACCACTATCAGAACAATATTTCCTCATGGAAATTGAGAAAACCAAAATTTTATGCTTTCTCCGCATAGACACAATCATATCCAACAAATGTTTAGTTAGTGCTAGTGATGCACTGTGTTAGAAACTTGAGGAAAACAATGAACAAAAAAGAGGGAGTCTCGGTTTGCAGACTTGCAGGTAGAATGTAGCAGTGCTCAGCACAGCTTCCAGCAGCTGGCATGTGCTAAGTAATTGTTTACTGAATGGATGAATAACAGCTACATAAAAGAGAGTATGGTAAATGCCAAGAGTGACTGAAGGGGGTTGTTGATGGATAGGAAACCGGCTCCAAGGCTCTGTCCAAGAGGCAGGATTCCAGTTACACCTAAGAGGATTTCCACATGAAATCGGAAGGGGGTTGATTGTGGGGGGGGGGGCAGTTTCCATGTGGGTTATATGAGTATGAGGCACGTTTTGTAAACAGGAGTCCAGCATGCAATTAGTAAGAAGTTGGACTAGCTGCCTCTAAGTTCTTTCCCAGCCCTAAGATTCCATCTACCACTGATCTATGAATTTGACTTCTGGTAAAGTTTCCCTAGTCCTGTCAGCATCTCAGTGATAAGATGCAATAAGGGACATTTGTGAAGAGTCACCTGTAAAAGTCATTAAGGTCATTTTGTGGTGGAATTTAAAGGACAGTACAAAAAACTATCTGTACTTCTGTAAGCAGAATTTTCCCTAACATTGAAAGTTTCTGAGCAATAGAGTAACAAACCTTAAGGATGCATGACTCATGTTCAACAAGCAGAACCTTTTTGAGTTAAAGGAGTTTAGAAGTATATGTATTCATTATATATGAATACAATGTCCTCTGGAACATGGGAGACCTTTGAGATGTCATTCTTTCTCAAATTGGTAGAAGGCCTCTCTCTGCTGTGACTTCTCCTACACTTTTTTTTTTATGTGTGTATGTTGGGGGTAGGGTGTCAGTGCAGTGCTGCCAAGCCCCACAATGTGACACAGTAAGGCTATATCTATCTTCCAGACCACAACCTTTAAAAATACAAAACAGGGCCGGGCGCGGTGGCTCACGCCTGTAATCCTAGCACTCTGGGAGGCCGAGGCGGGTGGATTGCTCAAGGTCAGGAGTTCAAAACCAGCCTGAGCGAGACCCCCCCTCTCTACCATAAAAATAGAAAGAAATTAATTGGCCAACTAATATATATATAAAAAATTAGCCGGGCATGGTGGCTTGTGCCTGTAGTCCCAGCTACTCGGGAGGCTGAGGCAGGAGGATCGCTTGAGCCCAGGAGTTTGAGGTTGCTGTGAGCTAGGCTGACGCCACGGCACTCACTCTAGCCTAGGCAAGAAAGCGAGACTCTGTCTCAAAAAAAAAAAAAAAAATACAAAACAGTAATGACATCATCATGTCACCATCACCATTTTGGATAGACAAAATAACACAATTAGCTGTTCTGATTTACTGTAAGATGAAAGTAAGCTACATGGAAATAAAAAGCTGCTGATACCATTATTAGGGTTTGGTTTCTTAACGATTTTTAAAAACATTTTTTCATCTCCCTCTGCATGTTTACTGTGTGCTGTGATGAAGTACTCCTCACAAGTGCAGGTCTACACTGGGCTACTACACACTGCCAAGCACTGGCTCCTGTAAGGTAAACGCCCCCAGACCCCTTCAGTGGATTTTACAGAGTTTTATTTACCATCTCCAAATAGCAAATGAAAAAAAGAACTGCATTACTTTGTCTTCTATTCAGGAAAAAGAGGGAAAGCGGGGAGAAAACACAGAATTCATGAGTTTTAAAGCAGTGGTCCTCCAATGCTAACTTGCATCAGGTCAGTCGTCCTTGGAGGGTTTGTTAAGACACAGATTGCTGGGCCTACCCCTAGAATTCCTGACACTGTTGGTCTAGTTGAAAGCTACTATTTTAAGCATAAGGTCTTTTAAGAATAATATTTTAGATTAAAATAATTTATACAAGCTAGTGACAGCCAAACATTGGTCTATGGGTTAGTTATAGTATCTGGCCTCTTTCCTTTGTATATATATTTTTTGTTTTTAGAGACAAGGTCTTGCTCTGTGGCCCAGGCTAGAGTGCAGTGGTGTGAGCATAGATCACTGCAACCATGAACTGCTGGGCTCAAAGTGATCCCCCTGCCTCAGCCTCCCAAGTAGCTGGGTCTACAGGCATGTGCCACCATACCAGATAATTTTTCTATGTTTAGTAGATATGGGGTCTTGCTATGTAGTCCAGGCTGGTCTCAAACTCCTGGCCTCTAGTGATCCTCCCACCTTAGCCTCCCAAAGTGCAGGGATTATAGGTGTGAGCCACAGTGCCCGGCCTCTCCATCTGTCTTAACTCCTGTTTTTCTCTCGATTAGCTCTGGGATTTTTTTTTCTCCCTTAAACTCATATATATCTGTATTATTCTCGCTCCTATTTCCTACCTTTGGCAACAAATCTCCTAGAAGATCTTCTTTATGATATGTCATTACTTTGTAGAAAAAAGTAGCTAGCATTTACCTCGGTCCAATTCTTTCTCAGTATTCAACTTCTGTGACACTTCTGAGGCTCCCATGTCCCTTGTCACAGGCTGGTCCAACTGGGTGGGCTCTTCAGGAATCTGCATATTAAGTTCTTCTATGTTCTCTTGTGAGAAATTATCATCATGGGATGGTTGCATCTCTACAGGTGAGAAGAAAGCAGTGAGCTGGCACTGCCTGTCAGCTAACCCCCCCTGACCAGCACCCCCTCCTCATAAAGCACCAGGGCACCCCAACACTGCCCTCCATGCACAGGCAGCCTGTGGGGTGTCACTGGGCAGGGAAATAAGAGTTTCAGTTTCTTTCATCCCACTCAAAGGATGACTAATCTACATGATAAAATTACAAAGAAGTACTTCATAAGTAAATATATTTATGGTAGGTAGTTTAAGAACTTAACTTCCTTTGGCAAACCAACATACGCCCACGCAAATAAATGTGCAAAAGAGAATTGCAGTCAAGAGCAGAAATGTGAACCATCTGTTCAACACGGAAATCACATGAATTCCGTCATACATAAGCATGCTTTTCTCACAGAGTTAGTACACAAAAGGGCATTCTATGCCAAGGCAGCTTGCTGAAGTGCCTTTCAAATACTTTCACAGTATGTCTAAGAGTCAAAGAGAGCAAACCCATCTCCTTCTCTAAGAGGCTCAGGGCATAGTCCAAAGTGACCCTTTGCAGAGATGAGTTTCTTTGCAGCCTTATATTTCACACTGAAAATCCATTTGAATTTTGCATTCTTATGCAAAATATATCTGCTTTGATTAAATGCAAAAATGTTCCCCTGCACTGACTCTCAGGAAAAATTAGCACTTTGGGGATATCCATTTTCCTGAGGCTTTATAGCACTCTACCATACGCCCTCAATTCAAACACATCTGTTTGAAAAGCCTGGGTACAAAGAATAGAACATGGAACTAGGAATCAGGAAGCTTCTGTCAGGGTATTTGCTCAAGGTCAATTCAGCAAATATTTACTGAGTGGCTTCTGTGTGACAAGCACTGCATTAGAAGGCTCCTCCTCCTGACTCCATCCTTGATGGATGAACTCGAGAGCCTGGGGGTGCAGGAGAGGCTCCCTGGAATAAGTGGCTGCTCTGGGGAGGCGGGAAAGAACATGCCGTCAACTAGAGACAAATGCAGGGGGAGCAGCAACGCAGGCAAGGCATCGATGTGGATGCCAGTCAATGCTGGGGTGTAGTTATCTTACGATTTAAAAACTGTGTTCAGCAGAGCCCCTTCTTAATTCTACATGAGATCTGTCCTGTGTTAACAGGTCTACTTCGGGCATCATTTTCTCGTTTGTATTTTTCTCTTTAGCTTTCTATAAAGTTTATTTTTGAAAATGCTAACCAGTCTCAACTGTCCTAAGGGAAACGGTAAGAATTCCTTCTGTGTGCTCCAGCCTAAAAGGAAGAAGGCAGGAAGGGACGTGTAGGCCTCTCCTCAGGCACTCTGGAAGCTGTGAAGGGACCCTTACAAACAGGTCAGGAGGTGCCTGCCGACGCCCGCCCGCCGCTCTGCAGCCGCACCTACCTCCCGCAGTGTCGCCCTGGCCTTCCTCTGCGGGCGCCGCCTCCTCTGCCTCCTCTGCCGAGTGGGCGTACCTGACAAAGTAGATCAGGTCTTGAACGTCATCTAGCACTGCGGCCTCTTCAAACGCGTCGTTGTCCTTCATCCCCTGATCTTTATTTTTGGCCACACGAGTATCGAGCATTTTCTCTGCGACGCTCAGAATGTGCGACTCAGAGGCACGGAAGACCTTATCCAGGACTTTTTCCACGTTATAGGGCAGGCTCTCCCGCTGCGCCGACTTCAGCTTTAGCGACATTCCTTGTAGCATGGCTTCCAGCTCGTGGACTGCAAAGTACTTCTGCAGCCGCTGCAGAGACTGCTGCTCTTTAAAGAAACTGCTAATTATGGGCAAGTCCTCTCTGTTGTCACCAGGCTCTGGCTCTACAGTCGCGTGTGGGGTCCAGAGGAACGGGTCATCTTCAAGTCCTTCAGAAGCAGACCCCTGGCTCTCAGTGTCCACGAATTTCTCCTCGTCCTCCTGGGCCTCTCTCCAGAGTTCTCCTCCCGGCTTCTCGGCAAGCTCCAGGGTCTTCACAGGTTCCCAGGAGCTGTCTTTTCTCAGATAATCGGAATCTTTATTCCGAAACGCATCCCCTAACTCTGGAGTCTGAGTTTTTATCTGGTCAGGAAAGCCACTTACTTCCGGCGGTCCCTGCGCCTTCCCACCCAGCGGAGGGCGGCCTCCTCCGTCTCCCGCCACGCGGGCTGGCTCCGCGCCGCCAGTGTCGGCCCCTGTGGCTGCGGTTCCACCTTTCCTTCCACGTCCCAACACACTAGCTTCTCGTTTCTTTTCTTCCACTTCTGGATCAGGACTAGTGGCCCCTAAAACTGCACTTCCGGGGATTTGCAGACCAACATCTGCCTGCCTGTCCCGAGCCCCAGGCTGGCGCTCCGTAGCGCGCTCCGCACTCGCACTCGCAGCGTTCTCGTCCTCCAGCAGTTCTTCAGGGGGATCAGCGTCCTCCGCCGCCGGCTCCTCCGTGGGGGCCGCCGGCTCCTCCGTGGGGGCCGCCGGCTCCTCCGTGGGGGCCGCCGGCTCCTCCGTGGGGGCCGCCGGCTCCTCCGTGGGGGCCGCCGCCCCGCCCGCGCTGGCCGCCCCGCCTGCTCTTCCCAGCTCCTGGGCGCCCCGGGTTGCCTCGTGAGGAGCAGACTCTTCGTCTGAGGGGCCCTCTTTGCCCTCTTCCTCAGAGAGCCTCATCTGCCCACTCAAGGGCTCAGGGCCGCCAGCAGCCACGTCTCTTTCTCGCTGCCAGGAAAGATTTTTTCCCAGAATGGGAACCTCTTCTTCCAGTTCTCCTGGCAAACCGATTTCGCCTGGAGAGGAGAAGCTCGGTTGGTTTTGAGTCTTAAGAACTAGATCCTCTTTAAATTCCTCACGCTGATGCTCGACTGAAAGCGTGTGCTGTTTCGGTCCACTCAGCAAAACGTCTGCTTCTTCCACGGAGTTTCCTGATGCGTTGCGCTGCGTATCTCCCTCAAGCGCTGCAGGGTCCGAAGACTCCCGTTTTGTCTTTTCTGCGTTCATATGATTCCCCTCAGCTTTATGGACAGAGTCACCCCCTGAGCCACCTTCCAAAATCTGCTCTCCAGGCTTTTCTTCATGGCACATTCCCTTTGAAATGTGAACAGCTGCTCCTTCTAGGTCGTTCTCTTTGTCATCAAAGGCTGACTGTGCTGTGTCTCCTCCCTTGTCAGCAGCTGGCAAAGAGTTGAGGTTACTGCTTTGAGTAGAACCCTGCATGGTCACCCCTTCCTGCTTCTCATCCTCTAATTCTGTCTCATCTTGTACCAGGCCCCTCTCAGGTTCCTGAACATTTCTCCCTTTTCCTTTAATGTGAAGTTTGGTGTCCACTTCTGGGTCTTTGTCATTATTTGTTTCAGGAACTTCTACAATCAAAAGACCACCTTCTTCATCTTCAGGGTCAGCATAGTCTGTTGTGGATGGTGGTCTCTCCTGTTTGCTACCTGCGACTAATGCATCTTCCTCTTCCTTTTCTTCCTCTGAATCAGAACTCTCTAAATCCATCACACCTGTTTTTTCTTCACCTCCTGTGACAATAGAAAAGATAGTATCCCCCCAAGTTGTTAGAATATTTGTATCATCATTTTTGATGCCAGGGGATATAATTCCCTCAACCTTATCCTTTTCAGTGAATTCATCCTTGTCTGATGAATATTTCTCAACTCCAGACTTCACTGGTGTTTCCATATCTTCTCCGCTCATAAAAGTTAGTAATGGCAGCTCATCAAAGTCTTGATTCTCCTCTTCCTCCTTCTTGACTGTGTAATACTCGGTGTCTAATTCCTCGTCAAAATCGTCTTCTAGTGAAGTGACGAGGCTGGTTGTCTCGTCATCGGATACAAGTGCGTCAGCAGTGGAGCCAAACGTGGTTTTTAAGTCTAGAGTCATTTCTTTTTTCAAAAGTTTGTAAGTGGCCATCTTTTCCTGCTCATTTGAGACCTGAGAGCTATTGCTAGTTTTGTTGTTTTCACTTTCTGGCATTTTTAATTTATCTTGCAGCATTTCTTCAAAAGGTTCAAATGAAAGCTGTTCTCCTTGAGCATTTCCCGCTTGACTCTTTGCCTGGGAGTGGCTCTTCTGAGCCATGAATGGCTCCTTGAGACCCTCAGTGTTCTCTGAGAACACACTCTTGCCTTCCTCTGGGTTGGCTTCCACTGGTTCAGCCTCACTTTCCTTAGGTACTTTGAGAGGTTTTTCCACATGCTCAGTTTCTTCTATAGCTTTCTCAGAATCTCCAGGGGCAGCATCAGACAATTCCAAAAACCCTAAAAGTTCTTCTACATTATAATTATCAAAATCATCTCTTCCTCCATCAAAACACACAAAATCTGTTTCCTGTAAGGGAAAGAAAAACATTAGTGTAGCACTCACCAAATATCAGAAGAGCAAACTCTTAGCCATACTGATGATAGAGATAATCTCACATTTGAGTTTGGCTCTAGAGGGGCGCTTGTGTCAACCTTAGGTGATGGCTGTTATTGGGCAGTGGCAGGTGGGAAGGAGGCAGGAACCCACTTTCCCACACAAGTACCAGTCCTGGCTTCCCTTCACTCTCTCTTCCCCAGGGAAGGAATGAATCATGTGATTAGTGAGTTCCCTCTACCCCATCCCTCTTTTCTGTTTGGGACCTGCCAAAAGGAAAGCACATATTGTTCCTCCATGCTGTTGGTTTATAGGGACAGTCCCTGCTGGGGAGGCCCCCAGTTAACTAGCTCAGTCTGTGGCTTGGTAAGTCTGTTTATGTAGACTGCAATGTTAGAAAGGCCATTATTTCTGCACACTTGAATCATATTCCCCAAACTGCCTGATCAGTTAATAATGATGACATTCTGGTCTCCACCTGCCCAACTCCTAGGTTTCTCAATTTGATTTGAGCACACGTGTGGAAAAGTGGGGTGTCATTTATTGGGTGCCCCAACTCCCAACATCAATGCCTGATGTCCTGGGAACTCACCTCCTAACAACCCATCCAGAAGCTGAGAGACCAGCCAGCTCCTCTGCCACTGTGCCCGCCACGCACACTTCTCTGCACACCCAGCTAGAAACAGGGAGACTCGCCTGGCTGTCAAGTTCTAAGTCTACGTGGATTTTTGTCTTGTATTTTCCTCGTATTTGGAAAGATAAATCAACTTAAGAAGCATCTTATTGAGAAACAGTTGCAAGGGAAGTAAAAATGTAAAGGGACAAAGAATGATGTCAAGGGGCTCCCCATTTGTTATCACCAGAAGAACAACTTGAAAACAAGATTCAGGGAGGCAAACAAGGTTCTAGGTAATCACCAAGATCTACTCTGAGGACTGTCTGTAAACCTATATTCTTCCTTTCCTCCACTAGCAAGCAAATTGGCATACAAAGAGTCATAAATGGAGGGAAAAGTTACAAAACCAACAAAGATAATTTTCTTCTCATAACTAAACTTTCACGATCTTCTGGGAAGACCTGTCCAATGTAAGTAGGGATGAATGATCTCTTTCCATTGCACGTGTTCCTGAGCCACTTTCTTAATATCGAGGGACACGTGCAGTGGGATGTGCAACGAGAAGACAGAAGCCAACACAGGTCAGGTCTTTGTGACCAGTGAACTGCTGTCTCACTGAACTGCTGTCTCATATCATGGGCAGTCACTTCTCTTCATCAGGAGTGAAGCCAAACAGGCAATAGGGCTGACTTTATGGCACCCTAGGTTATCAAGAAATTTAAAAAAATAGCAATAGTTCTGCAACTTCATCCATTCTGCCAGTCTCATCCAAGAACTGCCCGAGCCCAGCAGCTTGCACACTCTGCAGCAACTCCAAAAAGCTACTCAAAATTTCTAAATGAAGGTTGGCATAATTACTATAAATTTTAAAACTCCAGAAAATCATCAGCTGAAATGAGGACTCTAGAACACAAAATCCTTTTAGTCACAAAACCATTTTAAGTCAGGGCACCACAGATAAATGCTTTATTGAATTTGCAGTCAGCGCCTTAGAGATGTGAGACTGGACCTCGCCTGAAACTCTCAGGTTCACTTTTCCAAATTTGTGCCATTACTATAATTCTTTAAGTCACTAAGAAGTCAATAAGAAAACTCTTGTAAGTTTACAATTCTGGCCCAGTGCAAAATGAGTTTGACTAATTTTACCTGATTTCTATATATTTAAAATGTCTAACAGCTATTCAATGAGCAGTTTTCAAATCAGGACACTTTCTCCTTTTGCTTATAAAATGAAATTATTTAACTCTTAAATTTAATAACTAAACACAAAGATAATGAACTCTTTTCAGAGCAAAGAAACATCCTGCATAGGAGTATACAGTCTTGTGTAAGAACATCTGCCTCTATATATTAGATAACTATCAGATTATGACAGCATCTCCTTTAAATTCTTTTCAAATTTTTCTTTCTTTTTTTTAAGAGGTAGTCCTTTATGAGCCAATTTATAACTAAGAACAAAAAAAATATCTGCAACTTACATCTGTTGGAACTTGTTGCTCTTCTTTGGTATATTCGTGTACTACCTGGATTAAATCCTTTGGAAAATATCCAAAAATACGCCCAACCTACAAGTAAAAATGGGCAAAATGGACAAACATCAATCGAATTCTATATAAGAAATATAAATGAGAGATTTTTATTAGTAACAGGAAATATACAAATATATAGGTAGGTAGATACAACAAAGAGAGATACATAGTTGGTATTATAATTACACTGAGATTATTATTCCAATAAAAAAGTACAGAATATTATTAAGCCAATGTTTCTAAAACCACTGAAGCTCTAACATGAAGTTACAGCTTAGAAACAGATAAAAGATCTGTATAAGAGATTATTGTACATTATATGATTAAACTGTGCAAATCAAAGCTGGTTAGAAATGCAATTCCAAATGACCTCTAGTAAGAATTTAACTGCGTATTTCATAGCATTACTCATAAACCAATACTTATAAGTCCTTGTTAAACAATAAACATCCCTGTAATAAGTAAAAATATAAGATTTCTGAAATGTATGACCACTATAACAAAAGGCAAATACAGCTGACCCTTGAACAACACAGGGGTTGGGGAGTAGTTGAAAATCCGCATATAACTTTCGACTCCCTCAAAACTTAACTACTGATAGCCTACTGTTCCAGGGTGCGGAGAACCCACAGCCTCAAGGCCACATGTGGCCCTCCAGATCCCTAAATGTGATCCAAATCCAAACTTCAACCAAATCCAAACTTCACAGAATAAATCCCTTCATTAAATGGATTTGTTCTGCAAAATCTGTATTTAGTCAAAAGGCCACACTCAAGAATCAAGAAGACCATGTGGCCCCTCGGCCACGGGTTCTCCACTCACCATAAAGAATCAACACCTATTTTGCTTGGTATGTGTATTATATACTGTATTTTTTTTTTTTTTTTTGAGACACAGTCTCACTATGTTGTCCTGGCTGGAGTGCCGTGGCATCAGCTAGAGTGCCGTGGCATCAGCCTAGCTCACAGCAACCTCAAACTCCTAGCTAAAGCAATCCTCCTGCCTCAGGCTCCCGAGTAGCTGGGACTATAGGCATGTGCCACCATGCCCGGCTAACTTTTTCTATATATATTTGTAGTTGTCCAGCTAATTTATTTCTTTTTTTTTTTTTTAAGTAGAGATGGGGTCTCGTTCTTGCTCAGGCTGGTCTCAAACTCCTGAGCTCAAACAATCCTCCTGCCTCGGCCTCCCAGAATGCTAGGATTACAGGCATGAGCCACCATGCCCAGCCTATATTGCATTCTTACAATAAACTAAGCTAGAGAAAAGAAATGTTATTAAGAAAATCATAAATAAGAAAAAAACATATGTACTACTCATTAAGTGGAAGTGGATCATCATAAAGGTCTTCATGCTCATCTTCCTCACATTTAGTAGGAGAAGGAGGGGTTGGTCTTGCTGTCTCAGGGGTGGCAGAGGCAGAAAAGGTGGAGGAGGTAGAAGGGAAGGCAAGAGAAGCAGGCCACTGTAGGTAACTTTACAGAAACACAATGTAATTTGTCTGATTTTTTTTTATTTTTATTTCTCTAAAAATGTTTCTGTATGTTACCAACCCCTCTCCTGCCATTTGCTTTATTTTCAGTGCCCATATAGAAGAAGCCATGCTATAAAAGAAGACAAAAGCAGTTCTGAATAATAAAACCCTCTGCCAGATTGTGCAATGTCCATCTGTTTTCTGGCACTGCTGCTTCTATGACTTCTTCCTCACCGTCCGGCACTGGTTTGGGAGCACTCACCTCCATCAAGTCATCTCCTGTTAATTTCTCTGGTGTGGTGTCCATTAGCTCTTAAACTTTTCCAAGATCCGTATCTTGAAAGCCTGCACTCCCACCTTTTTTTCCATATCCAAAATCACATTCGTGATTTCCTTGATTGGCTCTGTCATAAACCCTGTGAAGTCATACACAACTTCTGGATATAGTTTTCTCCACGAGGAATTTATTATTTGGGCTTGATGACTTTCACAGCTTTTTCTATGACAACGAGGGTATCTTCAATGGTGTAATCCTTCCAGATTTTCATGATATACTCTCTATCTGGGTTCTCTTCCATAGTGTTGAAAACCTTTCCATAGAGTACCTACCATGTGTAATGAGCCTTAAAGGACCTTATGACAACCTGATCTAGAGGCTGAATTGGAGACATTGTATTTGGGGGCAAGCAGACCACTTTGATGCCTTCAGTGTTGAACTCATGGGTTCTGGGTGGCCAGGGGCACTATCCAATATAAACAGAACTTTAAAAGGCAGCCCCTTACTGGCAAGGCACTTCCTGACTTCGGGAACAAAGCATCTACGGAACCAATCCAGAAAAAGGCCTTTCATTGTCCAGGCCTTCTTCTTGTATGACCAAAAGACTGGCAGCTAATGTTTATCTTTTCCCTTCAAGACTCAGGGTCAGCCGCTTTATAGGTAAGAACAGTCTTGATCATAAAGCCAACTGCACTTGCATAAAACAGTAGAGTTTTGCCTATCCCTTCCTGCCTTAAAGCCTTCTCTTCCTTATTAATTAAATGTCCTTTGTGACTTTTTTTTCCAGAATAGGGCACTGTTGTCTGCATTAGAAACCCGTTTAGGCAGATATCTCTTCTTCTCCTCAATGATTTTCTTAATGGTATCTGAGAACTTGTCCACTGCTTCTTAGTTGATAGAAGCTGCTTCTCTTGTCTTGACATTTTTAAAACCAAATCTCTTTCTAAAATTATCAAACCATCCTTTGCTGGCATTAAATTTTCCAGCTTTAGATCCTTGATCTTTGTCTTACTTTAAGTTGCCATGCAATAACTTCGTTTTTTCTCAAATCATATTAGAGTCTATAGGTATACCTTTCTACAGCAAGCCTGTACTAACATAAAAGCTGCATTTTTAATAAAAAGGTATAATGCAAAAAGCACAAGGTTTTCATGCTTGCTGGTATAGCTGCAGCAACAGTTTCATGAATTTCTTTTATATTATAATGATCCTTATGCTGCATTCATCAATCTTGAAATGGCGGGCAACTATGACTGTGGACCTCAATCTATAGCACATACCACTCATTGACTTTTTCTTGTAATGTCACAATTTTTCAAGGCTTCTTGGGAGCACTCCCAGCATCAATAGTGGCACTTTGTATGGGTCCCATGGTGCTATTCAAGGTTTATCTTATTGCACTAAACATGAAAAATATATAAGAACTGCAAGAGATCACTTTTTATTGTGATATACAATTTACTGGAGAGATGAACTGCTCACTTGGTGATGCTCAGTGTCACACAGTATTTTAAGGAAATACCAGTGACACTTGAGCTCACTGCAACAGCAACAGGAGTTGACTATAAAATTATTACAGTCATACAGTATGTACTATGGTTAATTTTATGCAGTCATGATTTAATACTGTATCATTATGTTTATTTACATTTCTCTCAACTGCAAATGGTACAATGTATGATCTGCAAATGTATATGTGTGTAAGTTTTAATGAATTTTAACTCTTTATAATAGATAACATGTATATTTTATAGTAGTAAATGATAAAAATAGACTAGTATCTAGCTACATATATTTTATGTGTTCATGGCATAACTTTTAATTTTTTTCCATAATTTTAGGCTACTTTATGAGTTTTTCCAAATTGTGGCTAATCTCCAAAAAATTTTTCAATATATTTACTGAGAAAATTCCATAATAGGTGGACCCTTGTTCAAACCTGTGTTGTTCAAGTGTCAGCTGTGTTTACTGATATTATGTGCTGTACTGGCTTTTTCAAAAACTACCTTTACATGTATTTGGGGACAAAATAAAAATGCAATGTAACACATGCTAATCTACACACCAAACTTCAGTTTCATGCACAGTGAAGCCTCCACAGAAAATAATCCTATTCATTTTCAGCACTAACAGTAGCTACTGTCTCAAGGGGAGCTGTAGATCTCTTCCCAATAATTAAAGGAGACTGACATGTAAATAAAACGCACAAAAAGAACAAAAGGCCATCTTATCACTAATTTGTAAAATATCCCCATTCACAAGTGCTCTTGTTACATTTGGAAATTATCTGAAAGCCAGTTCTAGTAGTAAAATACTGCCATGAAGATTAGATAAGACAGGGCAACTAAAACCTGAATTATGGGGAGATAAAGTCTAAAACTCTAAGAAATCAAAAAAGATTGCAGAATGAAAACTAAGAAATAGAAAGAAGAATCATTTTGAAAGCTAAGGAGAGTGAGTTTTTAATATCCTAAGTATAAGGTTCATGAAATGAGAGGGGAGACTGAGGGAAAATATGCTTTTCCCTTCTGAGGAAAATTTCTTTTTCTTTTTTTTTTTGAGACAGAGTCTCGCTTTGTTGCCCAGGCTAGAGTGAGTGCTGTGGCGTCAGCCTAGCTCACAGCAACCTCAAACTCCTGGGCTCCAGCAACCCTCCTGCCTCAGCCTCCCGAGTTGCTGGGACTACAGGCATGTGCCACCATGCCCGGCTAATTTTTTCTCTATATATTAGTTGGCCAATTAATTTCTTTCTATTTATAGTAGAGACAGGGTCTTGCTCTTGCTCAGGCTGGTTTCGAACTCCTGACCTCGAGCAATCCGCCTTCCTCAGCCTCCCAGAATGCTAGGATTCAGGCGTGAGCCACCATGCCCGCCCTGAGGAAAATGTTATTAAGGGAGAATCAGGAAAAGAGAAAGAAATCAGAGATTTATGACGAAAAGAAATACTATAAATTTATCTTTGCTTAATCTTTGTCAACTGAGACATAGGTCATATAAAAATTCCGTATTTATACACTGGGTGGGATCTCATTTCTTACAATCTAACAAAAAAAAAGTTGCAGAATCATGGGCCCACATGACTGAAGTAATCTTTTTGTCTGACTTTGTTTCCGTATATTATCCTTGCCAAGGTACTGTTGATTTGATTTGTGTGGTGGGGGGAAAGCAAGAACATCGCCTCAAGAGAACAAATTCTGCATCAGGACAAATGTAAATAAGTGTCACTGCTCTGTAAGGAAATACTCAGAAGGAAGACAAATAAGACATGGGCCCTTTCATTAAAGAGTTTTTGATTTTGTATGAGCCAACACAGTACACAAACTAACTGCAATTACAAAACAGTAAAACAAACGCATGTGAGCAGTGCAAACAAAGTGCCACCTAAACAATTATCAGACAGCAAAGATCCCTTCTGTCTGGCTGATGAAGGCAGCATTCCCTGAGAAGGCAGGATGAGGGCTGTGACCCAGAAAGATTGACAGGCTATCCAGAGGCAAATATGGTCATGAGCAAAGTGTGGCAAGAGGGAAAGCCTTAAGTCCAGTTCATTTTATCCAAATGCTCAAAGATGAGGAGGAGAAAAAGAACTTAACCACTCTATGAAGAATGCAGCCTAAGTATATGGAAAAACATTTGCAAGATAAAGATTGTCAAGAAATCTCACTTGGTAGACTTAAAAGAAACAGAATAGATTCTTCTTTGTATGGAGTAAGGTTTGTACTTGACCAGCTGCCGTTTCTCAAAATGGCTCCCTAGGAATCTGGAATACCAACAAAATGAATCTGTTTTTCCCAAAGGGATTTCTCAAGCCTTATTTTCTGTTGTTTGTTCATTTGGTGTTTTATTGAGTGAAAGTTTTCACAGTTGGTACTGGTATTTCTCTAAGTTGGAACAATCCTAAGGACATGAAGGACCCTTACTACTTTAAGTAGATAAATGTCCACAACACATCACACTCTCTAACAAGGAAAGGACAATAACTCATAAGATTAGCCTCTCAATCAGGTTATTCCTAATGAATCTCCTCATTAAAAACATCAAAGCATGCTGCCATCATTGACTGCCATGTCTGATATCAGAGCACCCATAAAACTGGCTAGAAATAGAGCCGCTGGGAGACCCTCCAGACACAAGTGTCTGTCAGAAAACGGAAGACCCCAAAGTTGCAAACAAACAAACAACAACAAAAAAAGAAATCACACAATAAACACATTTTTGGTTTTTTAACAGACTAATAACAGCAGAGATTATTAATTGTTCCCAAGACTGCCACTTTTTCATAAATAATGACATAGAAGAAAGGAAATACACAAACAGGCTCACACCTGTAATCCTAGCACTCTGGGAGGCCAAGGCGGGAGGATTGCTTGACCTCAAGAGTTCAAAACCAGCCTGAGCAAAAGTGAGACCCCGTCTCTACTATAAATAGAAAGAAAATTAGCCAAACAACTAAACATAGAAAAAATTAGCTGGGCACAGTGGTTCGTGCCTGTAGTCCCAGCTACTCGGGAGGCTGAGACAGGAGGATCATTTGAGCCAAGGAGTTTGAGGCTGCTGTGAGCTAGGCCAACGCCACGGCACTCTAGCCCAGGATACAAAGTGAGACTCTCTCTCTAAAAAAAAAAAAAAAAAAAAAAAAAAATACACAAACAGTCAACTTTAAACTCGTGTGCCTGAAACACTATCTCACACATAGTTTACAGGATTAAAGTCTGATTCCCATGAATCCTTCATTTTAAAGCAACAAAGTCAAGAAATATTCAAGTTTTCACCATTTCAACCTTTAATATGTATGGAGCATCCTAGAAGCTGATGCTCAAGGGCAATAGCTAGAATCAGTTCAGTTGTTTTAGAAACCTCTGCTGAGCCCCTGCTGTCTGCAGGCCCAAGGCCTGTTAGGGACAGAGGGCCATCTTCTTTTTTCATAGTCTAGGAAAGAAGACATGTTAACCTCATCAAAGATCCTAACAAAACACATTTAAATCTTGGTGCTAAACAAACCAATAAAAAGTAAGCAAATAAAGTATGTCGAAATTGTACTTACACTTCCAGCCCAAACTTCAGGCCCTCTCCCTGCCAGTTTATAGTAGACATATACAGGGTCACCTTTTTTAAAATTTACAAAACGACAATCTGGGCCTGTGAAATCTTCTAGAGCTTCACCCCGGTACATTAACACTGTATATATACAGGAGAAAAAAAAAACCCAAAAAACAGATATCAGGATTCAGCATTCACAACCCATATTGACTTATCAGGAAATATAAGAATTCCACTGTAAATAACAATCAAGTTTTTCCAGTATTCTCTAGAAGCACTTTTAATTCATATGTGCAAAGTACCTAAAATCCTTAGAGCTTTGTTGCTATAAATCACAAAGTCCCCTGCACTAAATAAGAGAAAGGGAAATTTCCCTATTTTTCTCTATGGATAATACGGAGAACAAAAAGCAAATGTGTCTACCACCACACACGGCTATTCTCAAGGGAAACTCTTGGATCCTTCTCTAACCTTCTAGTCCTCAATCTTTTCTGTTTCATAATCATAAAAAGCTTCATTTTGCAAGTGGGTAAATTCAAGCACAGGTGCTGACTAGTGTAAGCATAGCTACATACAGAGGTAATAGGAAACTGGGAAACACACCCAGGAACCCCCAGGGGATCAATTAACTTGAACTAACCACTAAAAGGCACTATGGTTAAGTGGCTGTAACTGCTACTATGCAACAGTAAACACTGTCAATTTCATTTGCAGCCAAGTTGTTCTCTCTGCACAGTATAAAATTAATGGGAAAGGATAAATTAATGGGCAAATTAATGGGAAAGGATATGTATCATACTCTATTATTGATCCAATCACATCACAAGGCAATATTTTCTAAAATTAAATAATGTTGACTGAATCCAACATAGAAGGTTTCAAAACAAAGGAAAAATACCCATGTTTATATTTTTCTACAAACAAAATCAAAAGTGGATAACTTATGTAGCAGGGACCAAGCAGAACTATGAGAATAGGTCAGTACTGGTTACCTTCATGCTTTTAAAATGCAGGACTTAAATCACACTAGATCTAGAAACTGGTAGCAGTATTTTTCTTTTCATTGACCAAATACAGTTTCTGATGTAAGATGAAATGGACAATAAGTGCATTTAAATATGAAAAATGAAGGATGGAATGGAAGTAACACTTTTTCTAAAAGCCAATTGGCAACAAAATGCATGAAGATGTACCTTTAAATACATCTTTGAGGAAAAAACCATATAGATTTAGAGGGGGTTATTTGTTTTCCAAAGCTAAAATCTGATTATTTCAAATATGTCAGCTTCCTAATTCACATATAATTGGGTGAGAGGAAGGTTGACAGTAATGGGCAATTTAAGGTTGGGAATTCCACCAGAATTGGGAATGGCAATGTTTCCCTTGCTCCCCTAGAGGAGATCATTGAGAATTTGTAATAATACATCAGATGACAACATAATGTACACTGAGGAACAGCTATTTGAAGAGCACACAAGGACACCTTACACACACACCTTAATAAATACAACACAGACCCAGACCTTGCTCCTGCTGTTGCCTGTTGTGTTTCGTTACACCTGTTTGGATACATATCATTTCTCAAGTTATGTTACAACTCTGAGCTCTTTTAACACCATGTCTCAGTGCTAACAGTGATGTGATTCTTCAGGTAACTTGTTTGGAAGAACCCAGGTAGGTCAGTGCTCGAAAACAAAGAATAGCAAATATTTCGCCGTATCTAATGGCAAATGGATAAATACTTGGTTTTGCTCCGAGAAAATTGAAGGGAAAAATCATGGCAGTTGCTCCGCTTTTGCAGTGTTTATTTATATCAGAGTTGGTTACCTCCAGGAATGGCTTAACACAAATCAGAGATCACCTCCTTTCTTTTCTCTAATGGTGCTGTATTGATACAAATGCTTCAAATCATGAAATTTGTTTTTGAGAACACCGATTGAATATAAGCTGAACTGTAGGCTTCTTGGCCTTTTTAGAATGTCTTTCTCTATGTACTGCTTAGAATTTATGAACAAGTAAGTTACAAGGTTATCTGAGACAAGTAGGAGGCCTTAAGAATGGCCCTGGTCAGACAAACACATAGGAGGAGGTTCCAACAACACAAACAGTTAAGGCTAAAGCTGGTTTAGGCTTATGACACCCTTGGAGTATTTATTTTTATTACTGTAATAACCCTCTTCATCTGAGTCTGAAGCTCTGCGCCCTTCCCACCGCCCAGTTCAAAGCCTGGACCGGGGAGAAATTCTCCTTCCTGCGCACAGAAGAGGCTGGGTCCCAGGAGGCCGGTGCAGATGCCTGGCCTCTTCCGAGAGCGAAAGAGCTTGCCCTTCGCGCTGCCCAGCCCGGCGGTCTGCAGGGAGGCTCCCGCGCACAGCGGCGACGGCCCAGCGCATCCCGGGCGGAGACCCCGGCCCCGCGCCTGGACTCCGGGCGCGTCCGGAACCTAACCTCCAATGCCTGCCCAAAGCCCGCACGAGCCCAAACCCGGGGAGCACACGGCGAAGGGGAGCGCGGGCGCCGCGCAGGAGCCCCGCCGAGCGGCCCGCGAGGACGCCCGCCGACCCCCGCGGCCGGGGCGGCAGAGCGCGGCGCGCGCCCCTTCCACCTGGGGAGCCCGGCCGGGCACGGGGACGCTGCGAGCCACCCCACCAAGCCCCCACCTCGGCGGGGAAAAATACAACGCGGCAACAAGTGGGAGGCGCAGCCCCCAAGTCCGGGCGGCCGGCGGGCGCCGGCACAGCCGAGCGCAGAGCAGGCCGCTCAACCGGCCCACTCCGGCCGCGGCCGCGACCCCGCCCCACGAGGCTCCGGCCGCGACCCCCGCCCCCGCGAGCTCCGGCCGCGACCCCCGCCCCCCACGAGCTCCGGCGCGACCGCCCCCCACGAGCTCCGCCGGACACCCCCCCCCGGCGAGCGAGCTCCGGCCGCGACCCCCCCCCCGGCGCGAGCTCCGCCGCGACCCCACCCACCCCCCGGCGAGCGAGCTCGGCCGCGACCCCCCCCCCCGGCGAGCGAGCTCCGCCGCGACCCCCGCAGACCGCCCCACTCACTGCTGCATTCGCCGTCCGCGCACAGCTTGTGCTCCGAGAAGCGCCGGCCGCGCCCGCGCCCGGCTGCCCCGCACCCGCCACGGCGCCGCGGCGCGAGCAGCCAGAGCAGCAGCGCCGGCGCCGCAGCCATGTCCTGGGCCTCCGCGCCGGGGCGGCCGCGCCGGAGGAGGCGGGTCTGGGCCGGGGGCGGAGCGCGGGGCGGAGGCGCGGAGGGCGGCGCCCGCCGAGGTTTGGGCTGCTCCCGCTGACACGTCGGCAGGGCCCGGGGAGGGACGCGGGGACCTCGAGGGGGGCGCGGAGCGTTCGTCCTTCCTCCCAGGCCTTCTCCGCCCGGGCGCTGCCGTGGCAACCGGGACTCTACATCTTCCCGCTCGTCCAATCGCCTCCCGCTGCGGTCGCACCTGCGCGCGATCCGTGCGCGCCCGCGCCGGCCCGACCCCTCCTGAGCCGGCCACCTGCTCTGCCCCCACCCCTGCTCCTGGTGTGGTCCTTCCTTTTACCAACTGCCAGTCTCACCTGTAATTTGCCGCCGTCAGTCCCTGGTTCCAGGCCCTCCCCTTCCGACCCCCAGGGGTTGCTGGGCCCCGTCCACGTCCCGGTGGAGCCGGGAGAGGGGAGGGGAGCGGAGTGGTGGGCTGAGGATGGGGGTCACAGCCTGTGACCTGCTTCGTCTTTAAGCGGGGAGGAGGGGAGACAGAGGTGGATAATGGTCCTGGGGCTGATATCATTAGATTTCTAGATCTATATCCAGAGGGAAGAAGTAATTTAATTCAACACAAACGTAATGAGCTTCCATTTTATGCTACAATTTCTTGCCAGACACTGGATAAAGCACTAGGATGGTGTGGGAGAGGATGGGAGTCAAAGACGGAATGTCTGGCCCTGTGTAAAGTGCCCACGACTCAGTGGGAACTGACTGACATAAAAAGAACTAAAGAATAAATGTCAAGAGTAGGGGAAGCTAGTTAATAGCAGCTAACATTTACTGAGTGCTTTCTTTATGCCTAGTTGTTATTCTATACATCAATTCATTTAATCTTCACGAGTACCTCTGAGTAGATACTATTATGAACCCCATTTTAGAGATGAGTAAATGAAGGCATTCACACACCTGGTGAGTGATGGAGCTAAGATTCACACCCGGGAAGTACCCTCCCTTTTAATCCTGTAAAGCCTCCATGAGGCAACAAGTAATTTTTGTACTTTCTTTCTGGCTAGGGAGGGCAAAATCCCATTTAAATCATATTATAATTGGATTATCTTTATGTGCAATTTTTTAAAAAGGTCGCGATCAGGTCAGCCCAGGGAAGAGCGGCTGCACTGCTCTGGCCCTGGTTACAGCACTTTGCATTTGTGCAGGCTTCTCACTGCAGTCTCTGCTAAGGTTATTCATCGACCTTGAACAACACACCCATCAGTTAGTTTCCCAAACTAGTATTCTTTAAAAGCAAAAGGAAAGAATGTGGCCCATCTATGAAAACCATAACACTGAATAAAAAGCTGGTAACCATGCTCAGGAATCTTTGTCTGCAGGGACCATGAGAGGTCCCATTGGCCCAGTGTCATTCCAACGCTGTCTGGAAAGAATACGCTGTAGGTAAGGGCATGGGTAGGCACCCTCCCTCCAAACTGTAGTGCCATTCATTCATGTCTTTTCTAGCCATTCATTTTTTAAATCTTAGGCGTGTCTAATAGGCATCTCTAACCTAATATGTGGAAAACCAAACTCTTTATTTTTTCTTCACAAACTCTGCTCCTTTCAATCTCCCCCATCTCAGATAGGACTAGGAATGACAATTTGATTCTTGTTTTCCAAGCGCTGAATCCAAAAGCTTACAAACCATCCTTCATCTCTCTTCTCTCACACCCCAAGTCTGATCCATGAAGCAATCCCTTGTCTTTAACAGCTGTATTGAAGTATAATTGACCTATAATAGAGTGCACGTGTTTAAAATGTACACTTTAATGTTTTGACATACTTATGCATCCATGAGAGCATCCCCACGATCAAGATAATTAACATAACCATTATCTCCAAAGGAATTCTTATGTTCCTTGGTAATCCCTCTGCTCTTCCAGCTGCATTCATATGACCTGTCTTTTTAGGTAGGTTTGCATATTCTAGAATTTGATATGAATGAAATCATACAGTATATATTCTTTTTTGGTCTGACTTCTTTTACTCAGCATAAACATTTGAAATACATCCAGAATCTGACCACTTCTCCCTATCTCCTATGCCAGCAGTGCAGGTGAAGCCACCATCATCTCTTACCTGAACGACTGCAATAGCCTTCTCATTATTCTTGCTTCTGCTCCTACCTTCCCAAAGTCTATTGTCTCAATAGCAGCTACAGTGACAGTTTTATAATGTGAATTTGGTCATGTCCCTCTTCTATTCCAAACCTTCCTACAACTTCCCATTTCCAAGTAAAATGCAATGACTTTATGGTGGACTGCACTGTCTTACTTAATTTTACTTCCCTTCTCTCTTACCCCCATTTCCTAACACTCTTCCCTTGTTCTGGTAGTTCCACTCAAATACACCAAACCCACTCCTGCATTCTTGCATTTGCACTTGCAATTTTCCCTCAACCTGGAATAATTCTCCAAATAGTCTAGTAGTTAGACCAGTCTGTCTGCCTAACTAGTTCCCTCACTTCATCATATCTCTGTAACAATGTGGTATCTAAGCAAAGCCTTCCCTAAGACTGTACATAAAATAGAGCTCCCTCTTATGACTATCTACCCAGCTTTATTTTTCTTTAGAGCACTTACCACCTACCTTACATTTATCTGTTTGACTGCCTCCCACCTCAAATATAAGCCCCATGGAAGCAGGGAATCTGTCTATTTTGTTCACTGCTGTAACATCAGTGCCTAGGAAAATGTCTGGAGTGTAATGAGGAACTCAATAAATGATTTGTTGGGTGAACCCATGATTCCTCACATATTATAAATATATTACACTATTAACCTTAACAACGCCTCCATATGTAAACAGTCCAGAGAGGGAATATGACACGAGAACAAGGCATTTTGTCTTCCCTCAGCGGCATCCTGGACACCAGAAACAGAACCTGGAACATATCTGTGGTTGAATGAAGGCATGTTTGTTGTAGAGGGAGTGGATGAAATAGCACTGTACTTTTTTTACTATATACCTACCACCAGATCTTAAAGCAAATAACAATAAGTGATTTTAATTTCTCTTGTTTCTATGTAGTCTAAAATCAATAACAATTCATTGGTGGAAAAAGCAAAATTCCAAAATGTACTAATTGAATATTACTTTTCTTATATTTACCTTGACTAATATTCAGGTACACTTTTATAGGAAAGTCCAGAGATCTTAATTACTGGAGAACTGGCTACTTAGTTTGTAGATTTTCCAGAGTTTTGATTTATCTGCATTCTTTTTAAAAAGTATTCCCCTAAAAAGATTGACAAGCCTGGTGGATAATAAAAAAAAAAAATTCTCAGTTCATTACAATGAAGGTGGTGGTGGTAGCTCTTCCTACCAGCATATATGTAATTAGTGAATGAATCAGCTTTCTTTTTTACTCATAGTATTTGAATATGTGGCATTGATGCTTAACATAAAGTATAATCCCAAGTGTATTACTTGTTAACACCTCAAATGGAATTTTCACTGTGTAAAGGTTGAGTGAGAGTTAGAAATAAATTAGCTTGGGGAGCCGAAGACATAGAAATGTAAGATATGGAAGGTTTCTGATCTCAGGGAGTTTGCAGACAAAATGAGAAAACAAGAAAAATATATTTGAAACAAATAGGAGACAGCATAATAGCATATTTCATTGTAAACTTTAACCTGTGGCCTTGGGGCTACATGTGGCCTTCTGGATCCTTAAGTGTGGCCTTTTGACTGAATCCAAATTTTACGGAACAAATCCTTTTAATAAAGGGATTTATTCTGTGAAGTTTAGATTCAGTCGAGAAGCTGCACTTAGGGATCTGTAGGGGCACATGTGGCCTTGAGGCAACAGGTTCCCCACACCTGTATGGAGTAACATGGACAAGATTTTCCCATTAAACATCTAAAAAACTGGACAAAGTATATGAAACAACAGTTTTCGGACATTGGACAATAAAGCAATATGGAACAGCAATCCCTAAGATAAAGTTGAGCATATGGGATGAATGCTGTGATTGCCCCAGCTTATTCTCTGGAGAGAGTTTCCAGGCCACAGCCAGGAAAGGGAAACTCAAATAGGAAATCTTTTTTTTTTTTTTTTTTTTGAGACAGAGTCTCGCTTTGTTGCCCAGGCTAGAGTGAGTGCTGTGGCATCAGCCTAGCTCACAGCAACTTCAATTTCCTGGGCTCAAGTAATCCTAGTGCTTCAGCCTCCTGAGTAGCTGGGACTACAGGCATGTGCCACATGCCCTGCTAATTTTTTCTATATATATTAGTTGGCCAATTAATTTCTTTCTGTTTATAGTAGAGACGGGGTCTCGCTCTTGCTCAGGCTGGTTTTGAACTCCTGACCTAGAGCAATCTGCCCGCCTCGGCCTCCCAGAGTGCTAGGATTACAGGCGTGAGCCACAGTGTCCAGCTAGAAATCTTGAGTTAAAGAGACAAATTTGAAAGTTTGGGGGAGCCCATGCAGCTAGAATTTGCAGGGCGGAGTATAACAGAGAAGAAAGCTACATGGAGAGGAGAGAACTGTATAGGGAGAGAACCTCAGAGATCTACAGAGGATTTCCCTTAAGTCTTCAGCTGAGTAACAATAAGCTTTTGAATCCGTGGAAAAACCTGAGGCCAGGGAAAGAATACCAGGGAGGAATGGGGGGAACAATTGTTGGCATTGGAGAACAATTTGTATTACCACCAGCCAGAATGAAAAAATCTGTGATAAACAGATCATCATGTAGAGTATTCAGTAAAGGGGAAAAATTAGCCCAAGATTAAAGGTGATTTTGGTTCTGCCTAACAAAGCTTAAAAGCAAGCCTTGGTGTAGCGGCTCACGCCTGTAATCCTAGCACTCTGGGAAGCTGAGGCAGGAGGATCCTTTGAGCTCAGGAGTTCGAGACCAGCCTGAGCAAGAGCAAGATTCCATATCTACTAAAAAGTAGAAAGAAATTGGCTGGACAACTGAAAAAAAAAATATA